CTTCGCGCCCAAAAAGATTGCTGATAGAAGCGAACAGGCGAGTCCCAGGTAGCAGTTCAGAAGATGAAGATGCGATCACTGGGACAAGAAGTTTATTTGCCTGACGTTTCGGATTCTCACTCGAATCCATCATCAGAGACATCTGCGAATGTCTCTGATGATGGATTCGAGTGAGAATCCGAAACGTCAGGCAAATAAACTTCTTGTCCCAGTGATCGCATCTTCATCTTCTGAAGTCGACTATGGTCAGGAGGGCTTGTGGAGCGCCAACTGCACTTCTGCCGTGGCCACATGTTTTAGTGACTGTAGCGGGGACAGAAGTGTGCTGGTTCGCCAACTCGCACGGACCAGATTTACTTTGTCCGGATCTGACATTGGTGTGGGTCGATCTAACGTCCACGCGCAGGATCCGTTGCAGCCTCTCCCAAGGACCGACTTGTCCCGTCGGTTTGCAACACAGGTCACGGTATTTAGGGTACAGCCGTGATGGCTCGTCACATTTTTAAGTGGGGAGGGGGTCGCACATGATCAACCCCTTATCCCTCATGAAGCAGTCGCAAGATCTACTCAACGGACTGTGAGTGACCGGGCATGGAGCTTTCGCCTCGTGTGCTGCACGTGAAACACTCGCTCAGGTACGACGCAACAGCATCGCCCACTTCGGAGGTCATAATGCAGCCGAGGTGGTACAACGTTAGAGGAAACCTCAGACGGTGGAGGAAGTTTACTGTCTCATCCGTCCAGCGTGTCCGCAGTACATGTTCTCCGTTTTCTTGGACGATGGCACTTGTTCACGCGTGCTTGTTTGTCCAGCGTTTCAACGACTGGTGGTAACTTCTCGGCAACCAATACTTCTTGGCGCGTGGTCGGCATGCTGTCTGATTTAGTCTTCCGAGTTCTAAGCTCCATCCGCTTCACAGCTTGTGTACAGCCAGGTAATGTTATCCATGGTTTCGAATGCGGTCCGTTTCGAAGTTACAGACCACCGGTCCGGGGTTATGACACATCCAATCGCCATTGCTATATTTCAAAGCCCACTATTCGCCCTACCCAACCCGCGGCAGTCCACAAACTGTTAGGACTACACCATGCCAGATATCCCATCAGGGTTTTTTCGGCCTACCCCTTTCAAGGCGTAGCCGTTCTGGGCGGGTTACGAATTCTAGCTCGGTGAACTTTATATATACGCTAGAGCATTCTGGGAGTGATGTGCGGTGGGTCGTGGGAATAAAGGGAGAGTCACCACTTTTCCTGTAGTCCATTCACATGGGAATTCTCTTATATGTACATCTTTTGGCCTGTTTTACTCATATATACTTAGCTACAGCAATGAGGTTATCCGCACACTACGTTTGCGCCGTTTTGAAAAAGTCAAATCTGACGCGAATTTTGCAATTTATCCACCGGAGATCCTGCATGATCTCGGCAGTAGCAATTTTCGGTAGTCATCGCTTGTGATTTTCTGATGTTACCTGTCTTGCATGCCCATTTTATCCACTGTGAACGGAGTCTTTTCTGTTGAAAATTTCGAAATGCTTTCAAAATAAAGCACATCCCTCTCTCATTTTTTGTTGGGTTTTCTGTGATAGATACGCGGTGGGCCAAGGGAATAAGCGTCCCCCTTGTATTACAGGTGGAACTGGTGTTACATTTCAAGGGGAATTACAGTTTAGACATGGGAATAGGCACTCTTCTGGAATTCAGCGGAAGGCCGCCTGAAGCAAGGGGAGGGGTGTACTTATTCCAATATACAATTCCGGGTGCGAGAGCTTTGTTCCGTAAAGGCCATAAATAAACCGTTCATGTTGCCTGCTTAAGTGCGTCTTGATGCCGTAGTTTGCCCTACTCTCTCGAAATCTAATATTGTCAGTTTTGAGCCTAAAACGGACAAATTTAATTTCAACAACGCTTTTGGAGATCAAAATCCTCTTCCCGCATAACCCACTTCCAGGTAAACTGTTATGAAGCACAGCTGACTAAGATAGAAAGGTAGGCTTTTGACCAACAACCCAGGCGGGCGGAGGGGGAAATACCCTACCTTTGCCGACCACCGTCATGTGGCTTCCAGCTTGTTCCACGTCGACTGAAAAGGTCGTTGGTAGAATTACATTCTGTAAAATCAAGACTAATTGCGCAAAAGTGGATGCTCGTTTGTCGGATTGAGATAATCGACAACGAGAGCTAGGTAGGTGGTTGTTATTGCGGGAGACGCACAAGTAGCTCAGTGGCCAGCGGCAAAAGTTGTTGCACCAGGCCGAGGACCATCCATTGTTGTCGTTGCTGCTGTTGGTCCCGACGCGAGGTGCATGTGTGTGCCTACGCATGTCCGCTTGCAGCCACTCAGCCACGAGCACAATGTTGACCAGCGTCAGGCTGCCTCCAAGCCGAGGGTTGGGTCACGCGCGGCTCGAGCAGTCAAGTTGCCAAGGCCGCTAGACGGACCAAACGCGGTATGGGTAAGCAGCCAGGCTCACGAATATGAGGCCAGACTATCACACGTTAACGTCCCGAGCCTGTGAACTGTTGGCCGGTGACAATCTGCTTCCACGATCGCCACTGCGACCTCCTAACGCCTTTCTCAATCGATTGGCTGAGCCGCGTGAGGTTTGCACTAGCATGGCGAGAGCTCGAGGCCAATCTACGCTGTGCTCTTCGCTGCTTGGCTGCAAGGCGCACCCAATCTCTATGAGCCGATGGGTAACAGGCTCAACGACCGCCACTCGACTGGTGAGAACGCTTGTCACAATTGCCTGCTGAGTCGTGTGTATGCTCTCTTGCTGCAGTAGAGTTTGTCCAAACTCTGTCCTCCTTGACTTACGATTTGGGAATCTTCGCGTTGTGCACCACTGCATCTCGACAGGCTCCCAGCCGATGGGTATTGAGAGACTTTTCCTAGTTCCTCAAATGGAAAAAGTCCGAAGCTGAGCATATCGAGGGGAAACCTCATCGAAGATCAAGGGTCTAACTTGAGGCACTATTTTTTGTAAATGTTTGTGCTACTGTTAGTGATGTGCAGGTGCGGGCAGTAGTATGTAATAAACACTCTGTCGTCAGTGGGCTTGAAGTTCCTGGAAGTAAAGTCTGCACTGGCTTATTGCAGGCCTTTAACGGGCTGCGCTAAGTCCGTACGAGTAATACCGTTTAGACTGATGCTTTCGACTTACTCTAGCCCCTGCACCCAATCTTGTCATCAATTGGCGGACGGGCTCGAAAAGTCAACCAGTGCATGGGAGAGGGAACATTGAGATCGATCCCGAGGAGGATTCCCCCTCATAGCATATCAGCGTATTTCTCTATGATAATTCGGACGTGCTCGTCTCTCACGACATGCTAACAGTCGTGACTAAGAAAGTGGTCACAACTGAGGGGTTAACTCGATTCTCATCAGGATTGAGCGTCAGGCCGCGGCGACTTATTAATATGGACCTTATAGCACTCGCATACGCACCAGATACGAGGCCGTCTATGTGGTGCCCGTTACGTGTTGGAATTAAGACTTAGTCGCCTGTGGCGCACGCTCAGACGAGTTACTGCACCCGCTCCCACTCCCTGTTGTCTTGGCTTTGCGATGAGCGGTAGGTCGTGCGGAAAAGGAGGTTGAGTCGGATAAACGCACATTGAGGTGGTCTGAAGTGGAAAATTTTTCCTACCTTTTCCACGTTAAATAGGGTCAGTAGAAAATGATATTCGAACTCTTGCTGTTGGGAAGATTTGCGAGGCAGCTTAATCAAGGCGTCTCCTCAGGAGTTCACTCTCAGCGTCCCCTTGAAAACGGAGTTTGAGGAACAAAGTTTTCTTTACGGTAGTCAGCATGGTAGGTTTTAATGATCGTTCGCCAATGTTCTTTGCAACAAACCTGTCAGGCTACCCGTCTTCGTGAAGCTTGTTTTGGATTTTTCTAAGTTCCCCCTCGATGCCATTTGTTGAACAGCTTTTTCTTGCTCTTTGTGCCAAACACTGGACTAGATTTCGTTTTTCTTGAAGGGGTACGAAACTGGCGAAGTTCGTGTATTGTCCAGACCAAGTTTTTTTCCGATAGATGCTCTTTCGGACGCTACCGCCGGGTCTCCTGCTTAGAAGAACATCTAAGAAAGGGAGCAAACCGGCCGTTTCCATGTTCAACGTGATTTTGATGCTGCCCTAAGTTACTGGACCAGCACCTGTTAGCAACAGTAGAAGCGGCGGCCATCAGGTTACGAAGACCAATCTTGTGCGCACGGAATAACCCCGCTCAGGCTCCGCAACTGCAGTGGTCGAAGGTCGACTAACGCTGCTACTCTTCGCGCCCTTCCGCTCTCATCCCGTCCCTAGCATTGACTGTTATTATCCCCACCACCCCACATTCCCACATCCCGCCTGTGGTTCAAAACGAACTTTGATCAATTTCTCTTATCACTGACATGTTTTCGCTTCTACCGCGTTCCCATATAATTGTAGTGGCCTGAGAAGGATTTATCGAAAGCAATGTACGCTTGTCACCTCGTCTTCTGAGTTGCATAAGTCTAAAGGCTTAGTCGTTATAAAAAATTCGCTACATTTCAGTATGCAACTGTAATGAGGGTGCAGGATCTAAGGGCATGTGTAAGAAATGAACGGTGGTAATAGGGGATTCACGGGTGGGACACGTGAAGTAGCCCAATTAAAACAAGCTAAACCCACGAAAATATGCCTACTCAAATGTCAACAGTAGGCAGATTTATGTGCATTAAAAGGGATCACCGGTATTTCACCTAAAATTCGTGCGCGATTGACCAGTGAGCCCGCCTCGCGGGAGGAGAACCATCGCGGGACGTACAATAGAAGTGTGTTTCCTTATTTTTCTATTTTTCGTCTTCCTTCTTAAAGACGGAGTTCACGTTAACTGGGTCGCCGGGAAAGTTTTAGTCAGCTTTTGCTTTGCGAGTTAAAAGGTTTGGTATCTTTGTTCTAAATAATATCGGGTAAGTATAGGTTGGAGTGGAGGTTAACCATGGGGTGAAGAGGTCCGAGAGACACATGTGAGGGGAATTCGTAACTAATGGGGACGCAAATCCAAATCATCGAACGCATACGACAATCTCTCCCCTCCCACTCTCATGACCGCTCATGCCCAGCGAACGGCCAATCACCATGGCTAGAGCCGGCCCAGTTGGTGTTGCTCGCCCTTATTGGCCGCATAAAGATTGTCGTCGTGGCCTATGGCCACCAGATTCACCGGTTGCAGATCGCATTTAGGCGTCCTTCAGACGTTTGGTTGTCGCTCACTGACTTGAACGTTAGTCGGAGACTGTCAATGAACTCCCTGTTGCACTTGCTACTATCATTAATAGTAGTTTTGCACCCATCGATACCAGCGGGCAATGTTCACTTTGGTAAACATTTCATTCTTACCCTATTCTCCATTTTGCGACTGTTAAATTTTCTTAGCCATAATTGTACCCCAACGCCGGCCCGACATTCTGGCAGCCGTCAGCTTGGCCTTCAACAGCAGCCTGGCAGCGAGAAATCTGATTTTTGAGAAAATCACTACCAAGATCTACGAGACTTCTCCGGTGGACAGTGGCCTAGATTTCATCGATTTGATCAGTCGAAGTAAATTACACCTGTCGGTACTCTTTTAATTGTTCGCCCTTACTCCCTTGTTTGTTCGCAATTATAAAGGCTTTCAGAGAAAATTTCACGGTAACCGGTACATAACGTAAATAGAAAGCAAACGAGTTTCGCAGCCACAACCTTCCTCCAAGTTTACCTTAATTTGATCATAGTTTTTACAGACTGCAAGCCTAGTTTGACGGGTAAACTGCAAGAATCCTCAAACCATACTGCGCCTTAATATAAATTGATATTTAAGCCTGCATGACCGCCAGATTAACAGACTAGCTCAATTAGAATCATGCGCTTTAGCAAAATGGCTCCTCGCACCGAACTACCTAGTCAGTGACTTGAGTGCCATGAATTATTTAAGGTTTGCCCTCTTTCTGAACAACTAATTGCTTTTTGAAATCATGACTTCCACTAGGCCTCTCATTCAGTACTTTAACAACTTGAGACATGGATTTTCTGAGATGGTTGCATGATGATGAGATTGGTGTAATCAGCTTCAAAATTCACCAGTAAAATTATGCCTTTTCCGTTACGGCTTCTGATTTTATTTACTCATCTTGAAATACAGTGGTTCAGTTACTCAAACTGATCCAGTGGCCTTCCAAAGCAAAAAACTTCTTATATACTATTTCAATTAGGCAGGATCGCTTAAGTGGGACGGTAATGCTGACTATTTGATGGTATAATTAAGTGATATTTGAAACATGACAGCATGTTGGTTTTCGAATGCACTTCTTTTCAGTTGCCTGAAAAAACTGCACTCGGTTAAAATGGATACTTAAATATTGTTCGTTTTCCTGTTACTTTTTGATGTTCTCATAAATGTAAATTTATTTTTTAGGAAAAGTGCATATTTGTATCCTTTTTTATACCCATGTAATAGCAAATCACGTCTACGTAAAATTTAATGCTAAACGAGATTGTATCCTTCTGTTTAAAAAAGTTTCGAAATATAAGATTTTGTAAGATTCTGGAATGTCCTTTCAAATAGCATCGTATCTGTCTTTTTTAACAATACTTCTCATTACGTACATATCATAGTCCACATCCATTGCAATATTCTATGAGCGCCATGTGGTATCTCCTTAATGGCTAAAAGGAATGTGTGTTTTTCTTTACATGAAAAGTACACACATTGTAAACTGAAAACCCTACACGCAAATTTAACGGCAGATCGAGCTCAGAAGCATCTGAGAATTGACAATTTTTAAAACCAAAAGACACCCTTTCGTACAGTAAGATGTGAATTGCTACTAAGTGAGTACAAGAAAAAATATTATGGGCATTTTTCTGCAAAATACATTTGCATTTATAGCGGTATCGAGAATCAGCAGAAAATTTGAGTGCTACTGAAATAGTCACTTTTTACTGTTCGCGGCTTTCTTCAGGCCTCAATGAACAAATGTTTTCAAAAGCCAAAATCCCGGTGTGTCTGAAATATCATGGAATTATATCACAAGTGATTATTATTGCATTGCTACTTAAGTACTCGTTCCTAACCAAGAACGCATTTACGAATTTCAGTCAGGATTTTGTGAGATCGTTCACTGATTGCATATTAGGTGGGCTATTTCATTAAGGGTTAGTTGAAACCATAAAACGCGTGTTTACTTATAAAAGATTACTTAAGTCTGGTTTTTTATTGATTACTGGGCAGAATAATCGTATAACATTTCAGTCACGCCAGGTTGCTCGATTTTGAATAATTTTTTTTCGGTCGTCCACATAATCACACTCGGCAAAAATGACTTCTTAGATATTATGATTTTTTGCCATCAATTTTCGACGCCCTGTAAATTCAAATGTCTTTTATATGAAACATTGAAAAACGCTCTTCCCTGTACTCATTTAGTAGATAAACAAGCCTTCGCCGAATTTTGCGCTAGCTTAAAACACATCTATCGGTTTTAAGGTTTTTAAATTTCCAAATTATTCTGAACCCAATCTGCATGTGGACTTGTACTCAGGGTCTAAAAATTCCATACTGTATGCTTTCCGTGTTTTTAGGAAGACATCATATCGGACTCTTAACTGTTTGCATGGGATGTGGACTGCCGTATTCTTTTTAAGCAGCTATATTCAAAGTACTGATGAGATGTTGCATGAATGGACATTTCGCGTTCCTAAAAAATCGCAAAACTAGAAGCCTTTTTAAAATCAAAAGATTCCATCCTTTCGGGCATAAAATTCGAAGCTGAATTAGTTCTCTGACATGTGACTACAAGAAAAGACATTTTTCTGCTCCCTTTCCCATTAAATATATTCATATCCGTAGGGACACCGAAAATCAATGGGAAAATGCATAATACCCAAATAGTCATTTTTGCCAAGTATAGCTCATGTAGGTGGACGGAAAGAAGATAATTCAAAAGCCGTCATCCTAACGGGGCTTAAATATTGTGGGATTATTTTGCATTTCAGTTAATATCACAACCCCACCCGCGTAATCCTTTCTAGTCGAAAACACATTTCAGCATTTCGCTTAACGTTTCATAAGATTGACCAGCTACTGTTTACATTGTATTACTTACAATTTTGACGGCACCTGTACTACCTAAAAGTCCAAATATACGTTTTTCCGATTTTCTGCTAACTCATGCATCGTTTGCATACTAACGACCGCTTGTTTGAAGCTTGTGAAGATGATGTGGTTTTTCCGCAGAAGCTGATCTATATTTGTTCAGCAATTCATATCGGTGTTCAGACCAAACCTAAAAAAGGTTTGTATCGAAGAGGTCTCTCCAATTTAATTCACTAATTGCCGAGGAAATTAAAAGGCTGAAAAAAATACGTGCATATTCTAACTGTTTTTATCGCACTGAGTAAGGTTGTGATCCTCTTACTACACTTTACAGCCCCTTTTTGATTAGCAAATCCTACAGGTGTTCTTTCCACCTGTTCGTCCAATGCGTTTGATCGCGGCACCTAATCCTCTCCCTCTCTTGCTCTCTCACAGTCTGCCAGGACACAAATATAAGCGACGCGACCAGACCAGATGTGATACTGCCCTTGGGTTTAACCATCTTCACCACCTGCGCTCTTGGAGAGCTGAGCATGAATTTGGACGCAGGTGTGATGAGCACCACCAAGTTTTCCTGCAGCCCCCTGGAGCTTCAGACAAGCGCAGGAGACGGTGAAGAGACTTCTGTCAACGTGCCGTCGGTTCGCCCCTCTGATTCCGCCATTACGGCTGCGATGGCCGAGTTCTCGCATCTCCTGTTAGGGGCCCTCCACGAGAGCATTGTGTTCATCGATGATCTCATTGGTAAGACGGCGGCTGTGAGACCTTGAGACAACCCAACGGCAGCCCCACTGTAGCCATAGATAGTGTTAAGTTCAAAAAATCGGTCGTTGCACTAATGAGGACTTCAAGGTTTCCTAAAAATTCCCACCTCGGAATTTAATGCGTGAACGTGGGGCAAATCCTTCGGACCAAAGCTTTTTAGGCCTCCGAAAGTTGAAAGGAACATTTGAGCTGAAATTCATCAGCTACTGTTGAATTAGCGCGTAATGTTTACAAGCTACCAACAGGCAATAATTAGCATAAAATAACTGATGATCTAGGATACTTGCAGCGCAGGGGTTAGTTGCCTCAGGAGCAAACAAAGGTGATCGAACAATGAAAATAAAAAAACGCCGATTGAAAATTGCAATCGGCAAATCAAAGGAAGAATGGAATCCCCATCTAAGATTTGGCTACCGTCATTTGCCAACTATACGTCGACTACAGACGGTAGAATTGCAATTCGACCCATCAAGGGGTATTGCAATCAAACACCATACCAGCTGAACCCCAGATGTACATGGTATCGACGGCAATCAGGGCCGTTTAGTTATATGCAGATGCCGTTAATTCGTAGAGATGGTTTGTAGGACAAAGTTGGTCGTGCGACCATCTGTGACGTTTCTAGACTTCAGGATCCGAGACCAAACTGGCACGCCCATTTCTTTCCTGAAGTCCACAAAGATCGCCGAACGCGCTCTTTGAAACCAACTATCCCATTGCACGCTTTTTTCAATTGATCGTTTATAATTTTTGACTACTCCGATCACTTTAGACTGGTGGTCCTTCAACAAAAATTCTAGGATTCTCCCTTGCATCTTTCGCAAGTTTCCTGAATCTTCAAGTTACGTTCCTTCCCCTTCTTGTCGTCTGCTCTATCATCCCAACTAGACATCAGGTACGGCTTTCAGGACGCTCTCCTGGTCCAGATACCAACGCGTTTTGTCATAAACATTGTGGAAATGAATGACCAGGCGCTCACTGCTATCCTCGCCGATTTGCTCACCAAGACCGAAGCCAGTGCCTGGTTCCTCGCAACCAATACCACCAGCGCTCGCCGGGTTCTCCGACTCTTTCCGCGCCATCATCTCGCCAGTGGGCGCTTCTGTCCCATCGGTGTGCCCTGCAACTGGCTCCTTTTTGACGCCACAGAAGAGATGCGGGACTGTGCCGAGATCGTTTCGAGCAGCCTGAATTCCTACCCTGGTGCGGAGTTGTCTGAAGTCCAGTTCTTCTGCGTCTCCCGGTCGTGGAAGAGGACGTCGCCTAATTTGTTGGCCGGGATAATTCAAGCCGTCGGCGCCTCCTGGGCCGACATGACGGAAAGCGAACGTGTAAGAACTGCCTGCAAGTGAACGAAGGCTACGGTTACGTTTACGATTTCGGTTAGGGTCAGGGTTGCCGCTAGGGTTAACGGTTAACGTTTAAGGTTGCGGTTGGGGTTAGGGTTAAGGTTAGGATTAGGTCGCGGTCCGCTTCCCCATTCCTGGCAACCAACTGCGATCTAGCCAGGCATTTGTTCTTCGGCATCCCCGGTTCATACATCTTTGTGTCGCTTTTTCCATTACTTGGGCTAATTCTTCTAGTCTTACCGTCTTCACGAATGTGTCGGCCAAGGTCTATCATAGGCGTAATTACTTAGGTGGCCTCCAGCTGGCCTCATCTGCAGCACTAAATGTCAGAGATTATTATGCCAAAAGTCCATTGATGCCTGGGCTCTCGGTGTCCATTTGCATTCGCAGCCTGCAGGCTCGACCTCTTGCATTGGCATGCAGAGGCAAGAGTTCAAGTGTGATATTCTGAGTAGTTCGACATGATCTTTAGGATTCGTTTTCTGCTAGGCTGACGTTTCGAACAGTTGGGACAGCTATCGACCGCTCAAACGTGTGGTAAACACAGAACTTTGAGGTCAGTGAATTCAAACTAGTCGTGTATTTGAGATCAGAGAGACTAGAACGGATTGAAAACGCCACGGTTACTCTCACTCATCTGTTCAGTGATGTAAATGAGGAGAATAGCCCAGAAGACACAGACTTCTCTTATTCTGGAGTAAGTTCAGAAAGAATGTCTCATGTTGTTTTGGTACTACTGACCTCCTGATTTTGACATCGAAAAATGTAGTACTGGGCACGGCATAAGCTATTACACTAAATTCTTCCACATAACTAGGGGTTGTTAGCTATTATCGGCGTGTCTTCGAAGCGTACGGCATGCAATGGAGTACAGTTTACATGTTAGACTTTTTAATTTCAGCAGAAAGTAATGTGCGTATTCGAAGTAAAGGTGGGCAATTAAACCTCTTCAAGTTTAGTCCGAAGGTTAGTATGAATATTTGAAACGAAATCCATGACTTTCAACAAATTTCAACCGAAATGGTCGTATTAAACTTCGGACAAAAACTGGGGAGGTTTGTACAGAGGAACATTTTCCACGGTTACACAGAATTTTCTGAGAAGGGTGAAAAGCCGAACACTGAAAACCGGAGTACATACTGCAAAGAACACGGGGATTTTGCGTGAACCCGACAGTTTAAAGGTCGATTCTGACTATTTCCACTGTGTGCTTCATAGCAGGGTTAAAGCAGGGACGGTGAGCTGCTCGTGAGTTAGTAAGCTTGTGCAGCACCTATCACACTGTCTTCTCCCCTCGCACCTGGATCCGGTGTCATGACAGAGTCAAGAAGATCGAGCGGGACAGGGCGTAGGTAGCTAGCAGGCGAAAACCCACACCTAGGCGTGCCACCACACCCCTGGCCCACAGAGTACACTGACATACACTGTATACAACAAAAATAGGGAGCGGCACAGATCCCAACTGGCGCGGACATGCTGCCACACTCCCGTGTTGGCATTTGTTATGGGCGTGTATTCTCGATAACGCCTGCCAGATTGCGATCTAGCCTCCATATTGGTCCCTCACATCCACTGCGTGGCCCATTTTAGGGGTGGAAGTGAGCCCACTACGGCACAAAATCGGTGAAGCATATGTCTGGGCTTTTAGTTAGCATCCGTGCTTGGCGTATGGTCAATCGATCAATATTTATATTATGCATGTCTTTGGGGTCGTCGAAAACCCTACTTGAGATCTGCATCGCAATCGAACACCCTCCACTGGACGCGACATACAATCCAGCCATGCCCACTAAAGAACAGTTAATTCAGTTTATTACGCAGAAATTATTACACCCCGTTAGCTAATCAGTCGGTCCACCATGTGAGCTAAACGCAGCCAAAATCAGACTGCAGGATGTACAAGTATAAATCAACAGTTCAAACTGAGAATGCATTGTCCTTTGTTGTTGCTTAATGGTCTGATATTACGTGCGCCTTCGTGTGTTATTGACAAGGAATATCGTACGGGCTGCATTACAGGCCGCATTAGAAGTCATCAGGGCGCTCCGTTAATGGAAAAAAACAATTCGGAAATGTGTTATGATGCCTCCCATCTTCGGTCTCGAAGAAAACTTAACGTTAGCATACGGCGGAGTCCGTGATTGGATGCCTGTCGCTAGAGTAAATGCAGGAAAGTGCAGGACCGAAATACAGGCGCGCAGCTGGCTAGTATTATTGATATAATCAGAAAATTCTGAACAACAAGCATACTTTCTCAATCATCTTCACTCTATGAACATTCTCCCGTTCATCCGTTTATTCTCCTTCTAGCCACAGGAAAATATAAGCACTGAGTCTTTGCCTTAAGCACAATTAAGAGGAGTCTTGTAAACAGTATACAGCGGTGGTTTTTGTCTTACTAGATCGTGTTCCAGGCGCGAAAGTTGCATATATCAAAACAGCTTTTGGATATTCCAACTCAATTGGAATCATAGCTGATGTTGAAATTCCGCAAAATTAATTGCCCCATCCCGAACTCTGAATTCACTTGGAAGGTTATAAAGGACCTCGGAAGGCAATGCGACTTTTCAAATGATCGCTCGTCTCAAAGCGTTAGAGCTTTATTTGATCCCCGATAGTGCTGTCAATTCGATAAAAGGGAGGTTTTTTGAATTCGCCTAGCTGCTTGTATAAGCATATTTTGCAATATGCATTGATAAATTTCCAAGGTTTGTGAGCATCTGCTATACCATGGTCAGCAAACCATGATTCTAGTAACCTGATGGACACTGGAAGTTCTCCGGTACCTGGTTCTCTAACAGTAGCTGCGCTTACGCTCCCTCTGGACATACATGTCGTACGTATGGCTCCCCAGTCGCCCAGGTCCTTTCTGTTGTTGTTGGTAAAAATCCTGGTCAAGTGTATGTTGTGGACCAGGGGGTATGGAGTGGAGCGCCAAGGTTCGGGTTCGGCTGCGTGAGCCAGCTGAGCCTTCCCCTGCCTCCGGTCTTCTTGACTCTGTCTTGACACCTGACCCAGGTGGGTGAGGAAGAGGGAGCGCGGTAGATGCTGTACAAGTACACAACCATGTCGGCTTCACCTTCCTATGGAGCATGTGGTGGACATCGTCGGTGGTGATGGTTTAACTATCAGTGATAAATTTAAACAATCAACATTGTAAGCGTCTAATGTTTTAATTAAGGGATTATGCGCCGTTTAACATTTCGGCAATAATTATATGCCGGTCTATCTTGCATGCCCAAAAATGAAGGAGAATAAGCTGGCATCTTCAAAAGTCATTGGTTGAGATATTCTAGATATCAGTCTGGATCCCCATGAGTTTGCACAAGGTTTTTTCATGAAAGTGATTTCAAAAGCAGATATATGTCACCCTTTGGACAGAAAAACTCGAGACAAACTATTATTTTCCTCGGAAGATCCTGAAGACGGGAAAAGATCGCGAAACTCCGTCTGACAGATTCACAATACGCGCCGTTCGTAATCTGCGGAGGGAAAAGGAAATTCGCAGTTTTTAAGGACATTCCCGGGCCATTTGACTGCTTCAAGGTCACATAGCATATAGGCAAATGAAACATTCCCAGGACAAACGAAACTTTTTGAGATTCGATTTTTACTCCAGTATCGCGGCTCACTAAACGACCTTTATAAGAAAACATTTCTTTTTTGAAAGCCGCCGACTGTCTTCAAGTTGAGTGAATCACCTTTCTTTTTTCCTTGCCCAGCTGCAAGCCATTTTTAGCTACGAGGCAACCTTCTCGGCGGCTCTCGTTCTTCAAAATCTGATTTCTCGGAAGGAGTGGAACACTAGTCGGTCGAAAGAGCCCTGTTCTGTCGAAAATTCCTCACGAAATGAAACCAGCTACATGTACAAATTCGCCGAGGAAGTTCGGAAGGTAAGACTACTGTTCTCCTAGCATATCCGGCAGAGGTTCTTGGAATTAACCTGCTGTAGGGTCAAGCGAGTCTTTGTTCATTTGCTCCGATGCCGTGCGATGTCGAGGAAACCTACTGCAGCAGCAGCATTGGTGATTTCATGGCTTCTTCACCAACCAGGATGGTGATGCTAACTTGGGCATCCGGAACTGCTGTTCGTGCACGCTAACTCCACGATTCCCTCCAACTCAAAACATTGTTAATTTGTTCTGAGGTAGACTTTGAAGCCTTTGAAGCTTTAACGAGGGGGTTGGGACCAGCTACACAACCATCGTTCTTTCTTGATGATTTCTCACCCATCAGACTCTGCACGATTAAGGTGTGTCAGAGAACAGTAGTCGTATTCTCTGAATATCCCCCGCCTGCATTAGATGTGCAGTCTCGTGAATTGTTAATCGAAATTTAAAAATATGTCTCCGATTTAAAAAAGATTAAATAAGTAGTATCGCAAGACAAACTGTCACGCAGTGTGACCATGGAATATTTCGGTTAGATCAGGATTTTGGTTTTCAAACAAACTTATTTCCGGTGCTTGCAATAGTTAAACTCTATAGAAATGACTGCTTACGTAATATGAATTTTTGGCACAGATTTTCGACGCCACCTATGCACTTAAACATATTTTATAGGAAACATAAGCAAAAGTATTTTTCATGTCCACATTTAGTAAATAATAACGTCTACTTCAAATCTTATACTTGAAGAAAGCGTATCGTTCGGTTCCAAAGAACATTCTCAATTCCTGGGTAATTTTAGACCTGACGTGCCGTATCACTTGCATTTAGAGTTCTTAAACTGCAGTCTGTATATCTTCCCTGTGGGGTAAATCGTACATTTATATGTGCTACTAAGAAGATGCCATACAGGGCTCGTGAGATTTTGCGTTGGATATGAACCGCGTTGTATGCTTTAAAAGCAGTATTAATAAATGGACGGATAAGAAGCTGTAGTAGTAGTAGTAGTAGTAGACATTTCGCGGTTCTGAAAAGCCCATAATTAGAAGTTTTATAAAAGTAAAAAGTAGCCTCTCCAAGTACGCCATTTGAAGTAGGGGCGATTTTTTATCAACTGAGTACATAAACAATATTTTTGCGTATGCTTCCTATAAAGTATCATGGAATTACAAGGATGTTAAAAATCCATGCGAAAACCTACACTATCTAAGTAATCATTTTTACAGAGTTTAGTTACCGCAAGCGGCTGAAAAAAACTTGTTTAAATGTCAGTATCATAATGTGACTGAAATACACTGTGACCAGACTTCACGACAGTTAATATTACGACACCACTTAAGTAATTTTTTTACTGAAGGCGTTTCAAAATTTCGGTTGATATTTCATGTGATTACATATCTACTGTATATTTTCTCCTCACTCCATGCAGTTGAATATTTGACAACATCAAAGATAAGGTCTTTAAGTTCCATGAGTAAAATCGTTCATTCGGCGAGAGTATGAGAGAACGTGCCATCTCTTGATCAAATCAGAGCTATGGGAGATAAAGTTGCAAACTGCCTAAAGACGAAGCACGGTTCCCACTTTTGATGGGCATCATAAACAATGAATAGCACTCACGTCTGTGCGAGACAACTAAAATATAGATTAGCAGGTAGCAGAAATTGTGTATTGTGAAAGAAATAATAAACAATCCGAAATAATTCCGAGTTACTTAATTGCTTGCCGGCGAATTCGGAGTCTTCTGTTCGCCAACGAAAGAAAGACCTGATGTGTGGTCAGCCTATACTAGAAGGATGCAAGTATTCATTTCAAAGCAGCCTTATCAAGTGTGTAACGGAAAACCAAATTGGGGCAGTTAAGTCCATAAGGACGTTCTGCAGAGGTGCGATGGCCTCTGAGGGACCTTCTGTTTAAGACTGCATTTGCTTTCTCTGGTTTGTATTTGTGACCTGTCACGCTAAGAAACGCATGTTCTGCGCACTGTTAAGTGGTCCAAACTTTCCCTGCCTGGGTGGCAGCTGAGTGTGTTACGCTGCCGAAAGTGCTGGTTGCCATAATTAGATGAAGGTCCTACAATCCACCTCTTTGCAGTGGCATACCTGAATAATTCTGTTACACAATAACTGCGACTGCGACGGCAGATAAGAAGGATCGAAATCGAAGTAAATCAGACCTGAGTCAAAGTACATCCCTGTACATGATGTGTCGAAAGGACACGGGGTAGCAGACTGAGCAGTCTGGGCTTTGTCATTATGCATTGTCGGAAGATTGACGGGCTAGATCGCAGTTGGTAGCCAGGGCCCGTATTACAGGTGGCTGGGGGGTTTGTTTACTGGGGCCATTTTGTGGGGTTCCATAATCACATCTGACCCATTTGACTTCCGTTTTACATTTGAGGTTAGGATTAGGGTACCGGTTAATGGTTTCCGATTTTCGGATTAGGGTTTTGCCTTTAGGCTTAGGTTTTGGGGTTGCGGTTAGGTTTTGAGCCTATGAAAATGTTTCAGTATTACGGTTAAATTACTTAGTTACAGCTATGTCTAAGGGCTGCGGTAACGTTTAGGATTTCGGTTAGGATTAGGGTTAGGATTGCGGTTAAGATTAACGGTTACCGTTTAAAGTCGACGTCAGGGTTAGGGTTAGGGTTAGTGTTAAGGTCACCGTCCGCTTCCCACTCCTGGCTACCAACTGCGATCTAGCCGATTGACGGGCTCGAATTGTCGACTGGTGCACGGGATAGGGAAGAGAGAGAGGACTCCAGCCTTTCAACGCATTTTTAAGTATACTAAATCTAACGCGCTTTCAAACTGCCACGGTGGGCTTAGGGGTTGTGGCTTTGAAGGTTGTCAGCTGACTGGGTAACCCGTACCCCGTGGTCCGTATTGTGCCTGGTTGTGGTCTAGTTCGGGGACCATGAGTCCTCTGCGGCACTCTCACGCATGTGGACCCCCAGCTCCCCCTTCAGCGAAACACGACGTATTGTGCGGACGGACCAGATGGCGTGTGGCACGCGTAGAACTGCTGTTTGGCTTTGCCAATTACTGCGTTCCAGCCCGCCTCCACTCGTCGTGACATCGTCTTGCCATAGAAGCTGGGTAGGTGAGGAAAAATGATACTGTGGTAGATGCTGCACCCGCCCACAGGGCACACGGTTTGACAATGAACATGTTTGTTCGCGACGGTCGAACTCTCATGCTCACTACCAAAGAATGTATGTGCTGAAAAATGTTTCGCCCTTCTTTGTGTCTCTGTATGACGCAGTCGCCGGTCAGAGTGTTCCGCTAATTTTTCAAAATATTTAGTTAATATAATTCAGAACCCAGTTATAGAGGTGTTTAGTTTAGTTTTGGGAACTTCTACAAGTGTCTTAGTTAGATACGTACCCCGGAATGAAACTTTAGACTTCTCACTTGCCCTCCTCCAAGAAAATGCGTGAACATGGCGACTTTTCGTTAGTAGAAATATTCTCGGCCTCGATACGAACTGTGATATGAATATTCGGGTTGAAGTCCATCAGATTAAACGCAATGATCACGCATAATCTAAAATCAGCCAACAACCAGCTGTACAGAAATATGGACTGACTTGACGCACTCCAAGAACGAGATTAGTTAGGAGTCCAGAAACGTTTTTGCCGATTTTTGTGCTGCTGCGAGGAGATCGGCTCATCGTCTCTAACTTAGCTCCCTCTACGTTCTGCTTGTTATTTACTTCAAATTCCACGGCTAGACATTTTTAAGGTCTGAAAAAGAAATATCTGTTTTGAGACAAATTCCTGAGAGCAGGCCGTTCATAATTCGATCCCAAATTTCAGATGAACATCTGAGCTGAAATTTGCAGTTTTCTGAGCAAGAAATGAGTATAATAGCGATTGTAGCAGACGGTCGGTCATTCGTAGGGAAATGTTAATTTACTTTCCATGCTTTCAATGCGGGTACTGCCTAAAAAGCAGACGTCCTTTTCGTCAATTCTGTGACTCTGTATGCCATAGCTACGAAATGATCCGTCAATCGGACTGGTTAAGGACAATTCCACTATGCTTCATGGTAGTTTTTCATATCTTACTTGTAGGCTGCTTAGTTTCTCCGTGAAGTCATTTGCAATCTTGAAGTAAGTTTTTCGAGACGAAGCATCGTGTCTTCTCCCTAAAGTTAGATGGGAATACTTAGTCGGACACTGCAACCTCGGGCGCTAAATCTAACTCTAACCCTCACGGGATTTGGGACAGCCAGCCGGTTATACTGTGGGACCATATTTCCACACCCAACCGAATGTTTCCGCGGAGGTCCACCTGTTCCTGCAAAATAAATTCAGACTAGTCACAATCTGCCGGTAAAAATTCATTATCATAAAGACATTACTTTATTTACAAACCTACTGTGTGGATTCCAGAAGGAAGGCCAGAGGCTTGTTACGGAAGTTTAGCGCAGCTGTATAAGGTAGCCACTAGCGGTTTTCAATCTGGCATTGTATCCGCCAGAGATTCCCGTGTTCTTTTTCGGTAATCGATCTAGAATCCAGCGTAAGGGTTTATTTTCTTCTAGAGAGTAAATAAAATCTGTAGTACCCGCAGTCATGCAACAAGCTGTCAGATTTTCGTCCAACACCCTATTGGCTTTATTCACGCCCGAATGGTCTCTGCAGACCAGACGGTGTGAGGCAAAGACAATTCAAACGAGGAAGCGGTAGAAGGTTCTCTCTGCTGCATCGTGCCATAGAAGAGAGGAAACCCGCCTTAAGGGTAAAGCCCAGTCCAAGAAGTCTTCTGATAAAGGCTTTCCGAGTGACCTTTATAAATACAGCAGCGGTCATTAGGGCTGGTAATAATAAGCTGCTCAGAGACCGAACGTGCGATCTCGCATGATGTAGCAATTTTAGTCCGCCTTTTCTTAGCAGGCATATGCAGGTCACGGCAAGTTATTTCGAGGTAAACACAGTTAAAACGTAACCATTTCGGTAAGTGGATAAAGTTGCTCTTTTGATTATCCTCAGCTGGACTCCTTATACCCTCAAGTCTGTCATACACAATAGGCTACCTAACCAACGATAGGTGCAGAGATTTACAAATAACTGCTAATCACCCCCAAACCGACACCAATGCGTGGACGCAATATCTATTTTTATAAATAAGGCTTCTTAGGGGATCAAAAACACGAAATAGTTTGTTGCTTAAAATGCCAATTTTTTAGAAAATCGGAAAATTTCGAAATCGCCAAAAATAGTTTTTATTGTTTAAACCTCAATTTCATGTATACAAAAAGTCTGCGCATGCAAAACGGTAAGTAAATATGACATCACAAAGATAATAACCTCTGAAAAAATTTTCTAGTGAAGTTTACTTTCAAATAACCTTTTAAGGATCAGCGTAATTTCAGGTATAACAGTTTTCCAACAGCCTGCATTCTGAGTGTAGATTCCAAAACGGTTTCCCGTGGGTTCGTGCTAATCTTTACGCTTCTGAACTGATTGAAATGCGGTTCAATAAGGCAAGCAGGATTTTGCTTGATTTCGCCGCTGGGAAGTCATACAGACAAAATTTTTCATAATGGCACACATTGTTAGGTGGGATAAGGACTAGTAAATTTAAATCTAATTGACAGGTGTAATCGTAAACATAACATTTTGCGTATATAATGAGCAATCTTTTTCCATGAAATTAACTTGCACCAATCGGTTGGTCTAAATTATGTTTAGCTTTAGATTGGCCTTGGAATATCACTGAATATATTGAAAGGCAGACATCCCTACTGTCTTCATATATCAATATATGTATGAAAAATAGAAGTTCTTCTGAAAAGTCAAGTACAACTTGACTTTTCCGAAGAACCTCTTCTATTTTTCATTATATCAACTCGGAATGCATACCACCTCTGATCTACATATATATGCTATTGACGCCACCTCGTGCCGCTCTCGTCCTGCTAAGAAACTTCCACATCGCTCAACAGTTTGACGCTGTTTAGGGTGCTGGTATGGATGTAACCGCTCTCTGGGTGGTCTATTTTATCTTTCCGACCCTATGAAGTATTTATCTGGACAGCGATGACCAGTCAAATGCTTCTTTATAAAATATCCTTAGCATTGTAAGTAAGCTCAAGTAAGTTCATCAGTGGAAATAGACATAACGTCGCAGTACCTCATTTTTGAATGAGTCCATCATCAGATGTCTTTACGCAAATGGATTTTATTAGAATACTGCGATTTTCTGAAATCCGTTTTACCTTTCTAGCTACCTGCTCGAAAGGGAGTCATCACTGAGATCGACTTTGCTGACACCTACTTCAGTGACTCCGCAGAATTCCTTTTGCATGCATGCCCAAAAGAAAGCATCCAGCGTGGCAAGGGCTGTGACAATAAAGTAAGCAAATTTTTACAACCCACTTTCCCAAAATTTCCTGAAGTGGCCAAAGGTGTTTGTCCTTTGTTCTGACCTTCATAGTCCGTTGATGTTTTACATGGATTTTGTATGCATGAGCATGTACTGTGCAATTTCCAACCAAAAGTGAATTAGATTTTGGAGCGGCGTGTTAATCAATTTGAAGTTTCATACCCTTACCCAAAAGCATCCTTGGAGACAATTCCACAAATAAATGTCATTCTTACTGATCTCCGCGGGTGCTAAACCGGAAGCACAAGAATTACTAATTGAGTCTGGACCTGATTGTCGGGTCTTGATGATTCCTCTTCCTGTTTTATTTTTTTGTAGATAATCAAAAACCGAAATTATTATTCTGTCTGTTGCGTGTTGTAGCACACTTAACGTCAAACGCTTCCTCTAAGATTATTCTTTCGGGATCTTTCTTTTGGCTCTCGGAAAATTTCTAGGGTTTAAGAACCCTACCGAGCGTTCAGTATTGTAAGCATGTATGGCTATTGCTTCAGTGCCCACTGGCTGCCCTCACCACTTAGGAGTGCATGCTGCCCTCACTGGTCACCGCCTATTCTAAAGAACGCCAGTGCTAATAGAGCAGGCCGTCTCGCAGATGTGGAAAAACCGAGTCTGCAGGCGACAGCACCCTTGAATTGCCGCAGAACAAAATCTCTGAAACTGCAAACATTTTGATCAGGTGGGTTGATAGATCCATGCATAGGTCCGCTGGGGACTCTGGAAGTTTTCATTACTGCCTCAACGAGAAGGCACTAGAAGAACGACGTTGGTGTACTATTTGGGAAGTACTTGAGACCTGAATCCAATGATGCTGTCGAGTCATCAAAGGCGGTTTTACGCGACTCACCTACGGTCCTCCTGATAGCAAATCTCCCAATGAAAAAATCGAAACTCATACCCAATCAAGTTACCCAACTTCTCCTAAAGTCTGGTGGGCCTAGGAAGAAGAAACATTTAGTATGGAGAAATAGCGTTAGGGACAACCCTTTTTGCACTCTTCATCTGGATGGCTTGTCTACCAGATCTGCATAAACTGACTTTAATAGTGTCCAGATTTTAGTATGCAGAACCACACATAATTGTTACTTGAATTCCTGTCACCCACTCTGTCGCTTGTTCTTACCTACCCCTAGCTGGCTACATACTCCTTTCCTAGCGGGAACACGTCAGTTATTGGCGATTTGCAGCCCTTCTTACCAACTGGCTGGCGCATTCGTGTGACGCTTTTCGAGGTTGGTGTTCTATTGTGTGCTATGACTGTTGCTATTTTCTCCTTCCCTCCTGTTTTCTCCCTCCTCTTCTTCCGTTTACTAATTCCCCGTTCCATTCCTCCTTCTGGCCTTCTCCCTCCATTTTCTCACTTTCTTCCCTTTGCTTTTCGGCAGGCGTCGACTACGCTGTCCTGATCCCAAGTGTATACCCAAGATGGGCATTGAAAGTGAAGTAAGCCGAGGGGAAAGCTGAAATGGTTAGTGGGGAAAGTTGCCGAGACAAAAACGAAAAAGATCACTTCATGTGTGAAGATCTGCCGCGAAATTGAGGGAAGCCTAGAATCTCCGGAAATGATCCGGCTAACAGGACACACAGAGCAGCAATATCGAAGACCTAACGGTAAACCTAGCCGCAACCTCAAAAGTAAACCTTATCCTTAACGCAATTATAAACCCAATGCTAACCCCAAACTTAACACTAAACCTGACCGTAAATCTAGCGCAAACCCTAGCCCTAACCCTAAGCCCGACCTTAACCCTGACCCAAATTCTAGCCCTAACCCATATCCCAACCCTACCCTTAGCCATGGCCCTAACTCTAACATTAACCATAACCCTACCCTAACCCTAGCACCTACGCTAATCCGGACCTTAACTCAAGACGTAAACCTACACCGCAATCCAAGCCCTAACCCTTAAACCTAACACAAACCCTAACCCTCAACTCAATTCCCAGCCTAACACTAATCCAGACCCTAAAGCTATCTCTACCTCTTAACCGAAACACTAAGTTGCCCTTTTCCCTTTTGGCTTTGGCTTATTTCCCACTAACGATTTCGGCATTCCCCTTCGGCTTACTTTAGTTTCAGTGCGCCCATTGTGCTTACACTTGGGACCAGGACAGCGTAACAGACCACTATCTGCTTTTCTGCCACTTCCACATCTTTGGACTATTATCATTGATTGAGTGGCCGTTTGTGGTTAAGACTAGAGTCATGGTTGCAGTCGGCTCTAAAGTTAAGGTTAGAGTAATGGTCAAGTTTAGGGTCAAGGTTAGAGTCAAGATTAGGTTTTAGCCTAAGGCCACGATCAGGGTTGTGATCAAGTTTAGGGTTGGTGTTAGGGTTAAGATATTGCGCAAACCATCGGTTGCACCTGTCCCTGTGTTTTACCTTTCCTTTTTTCAGAAGTTACGTCTCGCAACTCTTCCTGTCGTTGTTTCGAACCTCTTTCGATTTGTAACAGATACTTTTAATCCATTTTCTTCGGTCTACTGTCTCGCACTCCTCCCCTCTCTGCCTCTTTTTCCTCCCATCCTTCCCACGCTCACAACTGTCGTCATCGTAATAACTCCCCCCACTATTTCAGGTATCTTTTATTTACTCCCAACCTTATAGGAACCACCGTTTGTCATCTACGAAAACGGCACTTACGTGGGACTTTTGATGGAACTGCTGGAGATCCTGGCAGAACGTCTCAATTTCTCCTATGTGCTGCTGCCTCTGTCCAAACCGGAATACGGGACAGAGCTACCCAATGGCACTTGGACGGGCGTAATTGGCGAACTCGTGGAACGAGTATGTCATTATCGGTAGTCACCAAAACACTGTACTGGTGTTCATGTTGATCCTACGTTTTAGGACTTAAATATTGCCCGCTCACTTATCTCTACCTCCGTGCTGGCACATCTCTTTTGGTTATCTATGTGGTCAGTGCAGATTACAGTCACCCCGGGGCTGTCAGATTTTTTTGAGAAATAAATGTGCACATGTTCGATTTGAATAGGACGGTATTGACTAGAATACGTTGAATTAGAACTTGAGCAGCACAATCACCATGGACTTGAGCCGCATCGCCTGCAAGGCTTCCCGCTGCCCTTCTCAGTTATTTTTATTGAGATGAAATACTTTTGGCGACACAGCAGTAGGAATGTGTGTAGTCTGTGAACTAAACTTATCAAGTCAAATCCCAGGTCGGAAGGGCAAGACAGAAGGCACCAGAATGAGGGGTTTATTGTGCACAGAACACGGATTTGTCCTCTCAGGCGGCAGTGACCGCTGGCGAAGCCAGGGCTGGTGTTGACTGCGTCCAGTTATGCCTGAGAGTCACTGGGACTGCGACGGCAGCCGCTTTTGTAGTCTCGTCGGCCAAGCTCAAGTGGTGTCCGTTCGGTGTGTGTTGCATTTGCCGAGGGATGGTGTCCCAGTGGCTTAGGTTCTGGTTGCAGGGAGGCGGTGCGTTCAAGTGGCCGCATAGGCAGCTGCGGCTGTGCGGACGCAGGTAGGCCCGAGCTGTCGGTCGTGTGACTTCAGGTCAACGCGTCTGGAACGACTCACTGCAAAAGGCTGGATGACCTTGAGGCAGCGAGGTCTTGAACAATAACACCAGACCGTTCATGATGGCTGCCCGCTACATACTTTCTAATATCGTATGACTGCAACTTCTGGAGTTTAACCTCCGACATCCCCACCAGTTTTTACTCCATGCCCACTCAAACGCGACGTCGAAAACTGTAGTTTATTCGAAAAGTAACGTGACTGAGAAGTCACATGAGATCACTGGAGCCGCCTTACTTGAAATTTCAAACACCATATGTGTGCACTGCCGAGGACTGTAAACCAACGTAGGGCACGCTCTGGGCAGCGAGGCGCACCCAGATTTTCACTTATTTCTAAAATGTTCTTCATGAAAAGCATGAGTGACTTGTCAATTCCTTCGAAATAAACAAGAAGCATGTCTATTGGTAGGCGAAGAAGGTTGGTTGGTTTTAGGAAGGATTTCGTTCACCAACCACCGTTTGGCGACCAAGAATTTTCGGCACCTTCCAGTTGCTCGCTCCTCTTTTCATCCTTTCCCTGGCCTTCTTCCTGCCCATTCTTACTCCCTTCCTTTTGCTCTCCTGCTTCTTCTTACACCTTAGGCTCTTATTCCTCATTGGTTGGGCACAGGGATAAGTGCACCTCGTATTACTGCTGACCTTGCGCTAGATTCCAGGGGTTTGGGGTCGAGGCCAGGGTTAAACTTAGGTTTAGGTTCAGGGTTGCAGCAAGGTCAAGGTTAGGGTCCGAAGTGAGGTTAAGTCTAGGGTAAAGATAGGGTTAGAGTTAAGCTCGGGTTTAGGTCCAAGCTTGGGAGCAGGGTTGCGGTTAAGTTTGTGGCCAGGGTTGGGGTAAGTGTTAGGGATGGGGTACGAGACAGCATACACCCGGCGATTTAGTACTAACCATCTATCATACGGTGGAGTTGTACCTATCACTGTTTTTTACCCTTCATTGATGTCCTTCCAGTCTTCAGCAACGGCATAAAGAAGGACCGCACTCAACTATTGATGGGGCAGCACGCTAGGCATTAAGCTGAAAAAATGGAAGAAAACACAGAAACTGCCTGGAGTTATGCCGAAAGTCCTATCCTACGCTATTGTACGACAACGACAATGAGAGTAGTAATACGACAAGAAACGGAACGGAAATTTCACAAAATAACGGATTTCGAGTTAAGGCGTGAGATCGCGGGAAGCACTCGTTGTTGGCAGTGTAATTTCTGAAACAGCCTGCAAATATATGCCAAGATAAAGCCCCATATGACACGATCCACGGTATACTGACACCTAAGTGGGGTCCTTCTCCATACCGTTGACCAGTCTTCTTACTGTTTTTCCAGGCCCCTTTCCTATTTTAGCAGTATTCTTCGAGTGAAGGATACCTTCAATCCCCTTCCTTCGGCCTACTTCCTCACAATCCCCGCTCACCCTATGCTTCTTTTGTCCCTCGTTCTCCCTGCACTCACCATTGTCGTAATTACCATCCCTGCCACTGTCATTTCAGATGATTTACTATTCCAGTATTCTTTAGGCAGGAATACAGTGTCGCAACACTTAGAATTGTCTATTCCCCCACCAGCCTGTCTTACGGGTGGACTACTACTACTACTTCTACTACTACTACCACTAATACTACTACTACTACCACCACCACTACTACTGCTACTACTACCACTACTACCGCTGTTACTACTAATACTACTACCACTGGCGGGAATACAGTGTCGCAACACTGAAGAAAACTTTTTCCCCCGTCTACCACCACTGATACGGCGAATACTACTAATAATCCTACTATTCGTATTACTACTACTACCACCGCCAACACGGCTGCCAATGCTACTCTACAAACGCTTACAGTACGGGTAACTAACTGCAATAATACTAGCATCAGTAACGGAGTGTTGCGACACTGGTATTCAACCATTCTTTATTCTCCCTGACCCTACGGACGGTTTTTCACCTATGAAACCGGCACTTACACGTGACTTTTGAAGAAACCTGTACAGTGCGTGACCGATCCCATGAAATGTTGGCCGAAATTCTGAAGTGCGATTTTTATTAGGATGGATTATCTAGGTGGGGTTGTAATACTGATTAGCATGCGACATAATCCTCTAGTATTTCGGATTTGCCAGGATGTCGGCTATTAAATGCACTCCTTTTCGACCTCCTGCAGATACCACAGCCAGTAAAAATGACTACTTAAGTGGCACGCATTTTTCACATTGATTATCGATGGTCTTACAACTTCAAATATTTTTTATGCGAAACATGCACAAAGATGTGCTGTCTTCTACAGGTGTGATGGAAAATCACATTTTCTCCACAGTTAATACCCCAAGAAAGGTTATCTTTCGGTTTCAAAAATGTGTCTTATTATGCGATTTAAAGACCGTTCGATGTCCGTATATACAGCATCACACATTTCTGTTTACCAATGCTACTCATGAAATGTCCACCATAATCCGCATCCATTGCAAAGTTTTATGAACTCTATATGGTAACTTCTTGAAGGCATAGAGAAATATTTGATTTTTGTTAAATGGAAAGTATGCACTTTGCAGATTGAAATCTCTAAGCGCTAACGCAACGGCTGATCTGACTCAAAATTATTCGGTAATTTGAAATTTTTTCAAAACCTAAATATACACTTGCTTAGGGTATAAAATGTAAAGAAAATGTGATTTTCTACCAAACCTGTGAAAAAAGCATATTTGTGCGCAGGTTTTCTATAAAATATATTTGCATTTATAAAAACATCGAAAATCAATGTGAAGAATGCGTGCTACTTAAGTTGTCATTTTTTACTAACTGTGGTTTCAGCAGGATGTCGAAAGGAAGAACATTCAATAGCCGACATCCTGGCAAGTCCGAAATACTATAGGATTATGATGCATTCTCATCAATATTACAATCCTATATGGGTAATTCATCCTAATCGAAGACACATTGCAGAATTTTGGCCAACATTTCATGGGATTAGTCACGCACTAACTTCTCTGTCTAAATTAGCAGTCCATCATCCAAGCAGAGAAATGAACAAGAACTGAAAATGCTGCATCATGAAATCAACTCTGACACGGTGGATTCTGTGCCAAGCGACTTCATCGCTGCCATCGCGTTCGTGATAGACGGAAGCAATGGGATTGACGGGGCTAAACATACTGTGAGCCGAAATTCGCCTCCTTTTTTATAAACAATGGGCTTGCCGATCAGATGTTGCCCATGGAGTTTGAAGTAGTGAGATATTTGGTAAGATGTGGTTATGTAGCCGCACCTGATGGACACAATACTGTTAGGTAATAGAGTTAGGGATTGGTGTTAGGTATTAGGATTAGAGGTTAGGGTTGGGGACCAGGGTTAGGGGTTAGGGTTAGGAGTTAGGGGTTGGGGCAACCATTTCTCAGCCACTAAAAGTACAACCGCGCATTCCCAGTAGCTTTTTCTTTTTCATGCAATTACTTGGTCTCGTCGCTTGTGCGTTCCCCGGCACCGTCTGTAAATACCCCTATTACCACCGGTCTGTATTACAGGCGGCTGGGATTTGTTTAGCTCAGGTGCGGGTACATAGCCATATCTGCCCAGATATTTAAAATTGGATAAGGAGATAATGGCGCTACCTGTTGACAAAGGGTGAGCGACCGTCATCATGGGCCGCGTCGACTACGACTGGAGGGAGCAAACCCTCTTCGTCGACAAGTAGTTCTACAAAAGTACTCCCCGTCACGGGCCAAATCGATGGTCAGCTAGATGGCTGGATTTCTAAGTCAGCTCAGACGCAAAAGATGTGAGTGCCCTAGACGAATGACGACAAACCAAACCAAGCAACACAGCGTTGGCCAGTTTCAAAGGACTATCCAAATTCATAAGCCTACAGTTCCCCTTTAGTCAGTCGTTGCTACGAGAAGTAGTCGCACTTGCAATCTAGTCGGACCGAGGACCCCAAAATTGAACATTCTTCGAGTCGACTCCATAATTTCTATGAATCCACCCTTCAGCTTATTCGCCGACATCCGGGCAAAGTGTTCAACTTGGCCAAATTATGATATCGTCCGACGTGATTCCGCTGCTCACATCCGTCCTGCCGGAATTGGCGCTCTCTGTCCTACACAGACGGTTTAAATAGGAGTATGACGAAATGAAAGAGCCTCTAAAACCGAGCATTCAATGAAACTGCCTTCTATCTGCCAAAAAACTTTTTCACCTTAAATGGTAGATCACACATGTAATGCCGATGGGTTCCCTGATTTCCAACTTAGTCGCATAATTGGTTCTGAAAGAGGTTAGAAAGGTCGCTTTCAACCACCATATACCTGATTTTTTCGGCGTCGACAAGTGGAAGGCGTGTTCATTAAAACTGAACGAGATAGATTATCAGGATTTCGGGACCTACTTAAGAGCGTCTTTCCCATTATCCAGTTCATAAGACGGGAATAAATCTAATGGTCGGACTTCCTGTGGGGCACTGAAATAAGAACTCTCTTGTGTGACAGCTGGCTTTGTACTAAATTCCAGGAGAATTAGGAGGGTTAGGGCTGAGACCAGAATTAGGATTAGGGTTAGGGGGGTCGGTGTTAGAGTCATGGTTAAACTTATAATTAAAGTTAGGACCCAGGACAGGTACCCCTCCAAGAATTTAGCACAAGGTCACCTGTAGTACGGGGATTAGAGTGCCCTTGTCTAACCGCCTTCCGGAGCGTTCTCGTCATGCGCGGACCTAATGATGAACTTACATTACTATATATCGAAACGCGACTGGCATAACCTGCGTCCTCAGTAATCATGTCGACCACCCTACGGTGCACAAACGTGGCTGTGCTTGGACACTCTCCAAAAGGTGTAAAAACGGACTGCAGCGACCCAGACTGACGAATACAGAAACTCCGGCATCTACTTTGGCAACAGCTGCTCAAACAACTTCATCAGATGCTGACTCCGTGCGCGGCCTCGATGGGCAGAGAGGAGAGAGCCAGCAATACTTTAGGACCTTCTACCATTTATAAAGGATGTATTGGAAGCAACAGAACGCACTACCACACAGCCCGGCGTGGACATCATCCGTCATCCGGTAGATGCCGTGCCTGACAGAGCTATACAGATGAAGAACCAACTGGATGCGACTGAGCCATCGGGTGTAGTTTAACAAATCTCATGTCACAACTGGCTGTCCCATTATACAGGATAGACGTCACGATAGCACGGTCAATGAATACGCGAGCACATGCAGGCTGCTCGGAGGCGTCACCGACTGGCCGAAGATGCTAGCCACACCCTGGAGGAGAGCCACGTATTCGGCTTCACAGAAACACGGACAGCGGTTCGGACTGACAATAAGACGGGGTGAGGGCTGTTGGTGGCCTGGTACTCTGACAGCAACTCCAGCAGATGCGCAAACGTGACCAGACGCCGTATCCCAGAATTCAGCTAAGCACGTACACGGCCCACGCTCCGTAAGACCACGGGGTCCCAGTCACGAACGCACGGCCTCCCCGTCCTCACCCATATGCTGCTGCGCTTTCGTAGTCCCTGAATATGGACTCCTGTACGAGTCCGAGAGCTGTGGCAAACATAATAGTTGTTCCGGTAATTGCACGTTCTTCGTTAGAATGAGAACCTGTTTAGACTCACATATTCGCCTCTAATTGTAGTAAACACATTATTGCAGACATGGACGTAGATCAGGTCATTTGAATCACCCGACGAAGAACATCAGCACATTACCGAAAAAGTACAATTCCCGTATCCCGACTGAGCGGGGGCGTGTGAATGGGCCGTTGTAAAAATGAGACTGTAAGGTGAAGGAGTAAGGACCAATCATTGGGATATATTTATTTTCGACTGTAGGTATTTTTCCCATGGTAGGTAAATCTCGGTCCTCTTATATATCCGCTGATATACGACATGCGCCTAAACCTTCCGACGACTAACATAATTGCATAGATGTCCAACCATGATTGGCGTTGGTTTTCTAAACCAGTTCCCTGTAATATCGATGACGTCAACGCTTGATGGTTCATTTTCGAAGGAAGTGAACTTTTATTTTACAGCCGTAGGCATGGTTTTCATTTTTGCTCACATACTGAGGGTATAATCTCATCTGTCTGTTAGCTGGTTAGTGGGAGGCATTGCACAGTCCCCACATTGGCCTGCGCCGTAGATGCGCTGGAAGAGAACTCAGGCCAGAGAGTGTGTTACGACACGCCAGGCGTAGACCACCATGCCGCACCAGCTTCCTGCCAGGCTCGGAGAGTCTACGGAGGGCTGGCTCTGAAGAATCTATCCCCACGGTACTTCAGCCAACCCTCCAACACAATAAATCTGTCGCGTCTGAATGTATTAGGACGAACTGGAAGTCGTGGCTTGGAAGATTACTAGCAGACGGGATAACTAGATTCTTCTCAGAACTGAAAGCCAGGCTTCCTGGTTTCTCTTTAGTGCGATCTCTCTGATGCTCTCACGCATGTGAAATCATGGTACGTGCTGTGGGGCCGAGGTCACGTGTAACACGCAGAGACGGTTTGTTCTGTTTTGTCACTTGTTGCCCCGTGCCCACCTTCGGTCGCCTTAAAATTGTCCTGCAACCGGATGGGGGAGAGGGGAGCCTGTGGGGGATACTGCTCAAGTCTGCCCCACTGTAAACTTATTTATGCCCAAGTCACCGGTGCTGCGCCCACCCCGTTAATCACATGGACGTCGTCGTGTCCGAAAGTCGAGCTGTCGGGAGCATTATGCCAGATTCCATCTCCAGTCGTTTTTACTCGGGTGGATGAAGAAAGAGGGAGCGAGACATGTTTTTACCTTGTCACAGTAGGCCAAAAGTGCTGACATCAGAGGTTGCAAACTAGTGATTCATTCAGATCCAGTATCAGACAGCAAACCAACTTTCCTAATGTACTTTTGTCGACGTAACATCTTAGCGACTGGAGTCTGCTCATTGTGGGCTGTGGGAACTATGAGCTATTGGTCGCAAACGACGATAACTACCGCTAACTTGAAGGGGATGCGGAGGTGATTTGCACAAAAATTTGTTTATGGCAAAACGCACTTGCGCAAAACCCACTCCATTTAACTCTACCCATACCCAGTGTGCCCCACCGAAGCCTATATGCAAGTCACTGAGGACAGGGAATTAGGCATTCGTGGGATACTGACTGTTCAGCCCCATTCCATGTTGCCTGTCTAATTTTCTCCCATCTTCTCCTTCATTGCCCTCTCCCCGCCTCCCTCTCTTGCTCCTCATTTTAGAGAGCCGACATAGCCCTCGTCCCCATGTCCATCACAAGTGATAGAGCCAGGGTCGTCGACTTTACCTTCCCCTACTTCGATGTCGTCGGCCTCATAATGGTGCAACGAGATCATGCTAGTGAGACTGGCAACATGTTCTTCTTCATGACTGTCTTCTCGAAGTGAGTCCTCTTTAGTCATGTCCTCGCCGACTGACTTTGTGCTTTTTCCCTATCTGTGAACAAAACAAAGAGTAAAGTTTAACCAGCGCTTACGTTCAAATGGGATAGACTTGTCTCTCGCAGAGACAGGACGAATTGACAAAGACCTATCCGGTCTGCTAGACATGCACTCACTTCCCATGACTCTATAAGACTTGACAGCTTTCCATCACGACAAAGCATCCATATTCAAACGTCATTAATGAGTCTCGAGAAGCAAGGATGGCCGTATTTAGACATAGCCTGTTGCAAATGTGTAGGATGAAGACGAGTTAAAACTTATGGAATACATCGACTGCTATCTAAACTCCAGCCATTCCTCCGCGTTGGAATGCTCTACCCAACAACTCGTCGCATTAACATTAGTTGCTATCAAAATCTGATGTCAACGCCCGGACAGAGAGATAATAGTGCATTTCGCTGCAGCCATTTCCTGAATACTAAACGGCATTGACTTCGTAATGCGTCAAAAAGACTGTGTTCTGACAAGTAAATGATCAATATTTATTGCCGACAAAATAACTGAAGACTGGAACACACATTTTGGTTCGTCTAGGGTCGTCAATCAATCCCATGGAGCGGAGACCTGAGATTTTCACTCGGGTCCGGTTTATCATCGAGCTTAAGGCGCCACCTGATAGTTTGACCGTTTTAACACCGATGTTCATTGTGTGCCTCAGTGCAGTGACGGTGACTTACGCGGGAATTAGTTTATATTGGTCGTAAGCTCTCTTCTATACGCATCTGAGCCCGATGTCAAGGCAGAGTTAAAGACCGGGGACGGGATCAGGCACGGTGTCTCACAGAGCCAGACAGCTGACTACTCATGCCAAACAAGCCTGGTCCGCGCGTGATGTGCCAGGTTTTCACGCACACAACAAAGGGGCACTGCTCGGACCCCAACTGAGCGGGAGTGCCGTAGGGGCCATAATAGGAAGTAGCCATTGCCTTCTGACTCTCTGCCCTGATAGGAGGACCGAGTTCCCTTTTCAGGTGACAGACTTCCAAGTCAGGGCCTTTGAGCAAGAGGCAGTTTAAAAGCACCTCAGTCTGTTTGTATTGTTGGATATGGGCTGGGTTCCGTGGGGGCGCAGTTCCCAGATTAAATCCCATTCCCTCTCCCATCTCCCTCCCCCCTCAGTACACTGTTTGAACCGGTCTTTCATCGGATTCGGAGGCTAAGCGTAAGTGACTGACTGAGCCGTACAGCCCTTATGCACATGCTCCAAGCGGCCTGTCCCCTACACGACCCTCCAGGTTTTCACCCGTTTTGGTACTCAGATCGGGTTTCAAAGTGTACGAGGGTACCATTGGGGCCACATGAGGAAGGAGCCATTGATCCTGACTCACAGCCCACCAGGCGGCCACTCCGCACAAATGCACAAAGGGTTGATTGCGAGATCTGAGTTGCACTGTCAGCTAGCAATCTTCAAAGCTAGGGCTTTAACGTGTCAAATAGATGCAAGCGCGTCACACTTATTATGGTGAGGAATGCGCTGAAGTGTCGTGAATATGAGGTCCCTGGAGCCGTCCTCGCTCTTCTCTTCCCCTTCCAGACACCAGTCGATTGTCCAAATCAATCAATCGACTGATACGAAGATTGGACGCAGTGGCTGAGAGGACTAAAACGGTGCGTCTGCGCGAGCTACACACCACCTGGCTCCCCAACACAACACACCAGGTTTTCATAAATTGGGGGGGTCACACATGCGTTAAAGGAACATAGTGGACACATGAAGAAGGAGACGAAGAACACGCTCCGCACCTGCGTGAGATGTGCGTATCCGATGCCTCTGGTAGTTGATGTGGGACGGGTTACTGTGCGGTGTATGTGCGAACGGGGAGCTTCATAGGTGCGGGATCAGTCTGCGTTGCTTTACCGCAGATTTTCATGGAGGCGCATGTGGCCAAATAGGTCCATGCGATAACCGAATATGCGTGGTCAATGAGGGCAGTTGGCGCGAGGGCATCGGACGTGGGGTGGTACCCCTGGCACCGGTTCGCCGATCTCGGTGTTACGAACACGCAAGTAGCCGACCAGGCCGATGCTTGACAATGTGGGCAGGAAAGTTCAGGAGCTGCTGATTCGGTCGCAATGTTTATGCTCGTAGTGCCGGCCGCACTAATGGACGGGGAGTTGGTAGAGATGTACGCCGTTCAACCCTCGTTGGGTGAAATTCTGGAACTTGTGTTTGGGGGTCAGGTCGTGCATGTGGCGCACGCAGACAGGGTCACTAGATACGGCAGCCACCGCGTCCATTCCCCGCACCTGTCAACTGACCGGCTCGGATAGTGACCGGGGCCTGGAAATGCGAAGGGTAAGTGAGGTCGACGGCTAAGCGCATCTCCTCACTACAAACAATCTGACGCGCCTGAAGCTATTATGGTGCGCTAAAAGCCGTGACTTGGAAGGTTGTCAACTGATGGGATAACTCGGACCTCTCAGTCGGCCCAGTAATGTGTGTTTGTGTGGAGCGGCCGGCTGATGATCTAAGATTCAGACTGCAATGGATCCTTCTACATGTGGCCTCTATGGCACTCCCACTCCGGGAGATCCGGGCCGGGCGTAGCGACACGCCTAGGGACGGCTTCGGCCGCGCCAACCACCTGCGTTCTCTCCCACCTCGGGTCTTCTCGACCATGTCTTGACACAGGACCCGGGTGGAGGGGGGAGGAGAAGAGGGTGCAGTAGATGTTGCGCGAGTCCACTACCATTATAAAAGAGATCGTGCGCAAGTCACCGTACCTGCACTCACCCTGATGTGGAGCGCACGGTGGACATCGTCGAGCACGACGGTCGAACTGCCATAAAGTGCGAAGGTTTATGTGTACGATGTTATTGCTACGGTACTCCAGCCGTACGGATGTTCTGTCTGCGTCCTGCAAAATGCTGGTGTGAATTCATGTGAGTTTATTGACTATCGCCACTTCCGAGAGAACTATCCTTCCCTTAATGGATTACTGCACGTGCTTAATGCCAGGTCAACTGCCCTGTTGGAAAATCGACGGAACGCCGCTGGGTCGCACGCCAATCTAGCCACAAAGTGAGTCCACCTAGAGCGCACTATCTTTTGTATGGCATGTGCCCATCGGTTGCCGCCCTCAACGTCAAGTGAGGAAATTAACAGCAGTGACCAGCAGTGCTAAGTATAATATCCCAAACCGTGTGCCTGTCAGCATGGAATGCAGAGTTGGTCGCTGTCATAGAAGATGTCGTCCTTGCTGTGTTGTCGGATACTCCTGGCCACCATGACAGTAACAACCAGATAGATTGAGTGATAATACATAATTCTAAAATACAGTGGATTAGGGAGGACTGTGTCGTCCAATTCTTGCCAAACGGACAGAGTGTGTTGCCTGCTAATGCCTTCTGACATTGAGTCCATGACGGTAAGATACTACTCACAGTATTTAGAGTGGAATTGCAGGAGTGTTGAAAGCTACCTTCACGAATGTCGCCTCCATTTATTAATGCATTTTTTACAATCCTGCTGTCATTTGGCTCCTTAACCTGTCTCCTAACATTCATCGAGACAACATGCAGCACTCTAAAGTATTTATAGCCTGCCTGACCCGCTTAGGTAAGAAAAATCTTTCCCTACGCAGATGCACCTTTCCGCCTGTCCGTCAGATTCAACGGGCTGGCTGCAGGGTGGCCCTCCAAGCTGTCCCTATTGACAGGCAGAAACAGCCTATTTTCTCACATTTTGAGGGTGTTCGATGCCAGTCAGGGCAGTTCACCTTGCGTTATCTGACCCTGTTTCCAAGCAACTAAGTAAACCCTCTGTTTGGCCACATCTGCACATTCCAACGCTCCTTCTTTTAGATGGGTGTGGCTGTCATCGGTAATGTCAGTCATCGTCGTCGGCTGCCTGCTCGCCCTTCTAGACCGGCTCTCGCCCTACAGCTTTCATAACAGCCAGACAGTGAGACCAGGCGGGCCTGCCGGCATGATTTTCAATCTACAGGAGGCTCTTTGGTTTGTAATAGGATCGGCAATGCAACTAGGTTAGTTTCGATTTTTCCTCTATTTCCCTCTGTCTTCGGAAGACTAGTTGGTGAATATACGTTTGCTTTCGGGCCAATTCGGTATCAAGTAGTACATGTCAGTGATAATATAAATCGATTAAAGTTCTTTTTTTCACACGAGTGGGATATAGGGAAGGAGGTCAGGAAGGCCCTTACCAGAGAGGAAGTTGATGGAGGGAGTGGAGAGTTGCGTGAAGTTAACCGGCCTTTTGTCATGGTTATTCCCGAGCTTGCACGAGGTTCTTCTGTGCACAGAACATGGTCTTGTTTAGTTTGAGGGCAGTCACTTCTGCTGTTTCTAACAGTCGTTGATCCGAAACTTCGACCGTCGCAAACGGCGGGTGCCTCGCAGCATGGCGAGCGCAAGGACAACGACCTGCGCATGATTTAGTTTATAGTGATAGTGGACTTGCGCCGAATCTATCACACATCCGTTGCTCCCTTACCCTCCTGGGTCCGATGTCAAGACAGGGTCAAGAAGGCCGGGGAGTGGGATCGCACACAGTGAACGACAAGGCTAAAGAGTTCGTCTGAACATGCCGCACACGTCTGGTCCGCACACGATGGGCCAGGATTCCACAGAAATAACAGAGGGGCGACTGAAATCTCAGCTGAGTGGGAGTGCCACAGAAGCCGCATTAGGAAGATGCTGTTTCTGTCTGACTCTCCGTCCTTAGAGGACCGGTTTATCTTGGTTGCCTTCCAAGTCGTAACTTTTACCATACCCTGATATATTAGAAGCGTTACTGCTTTTTGTAGCGATGACGGCATGGAGATTGAGATGGAGTCCCCAGAGTAGACCGCACTCTATCTCTTCCCTCCCCCAGGCACCAGTCCACCGTCCGGCCCGGTCAGCCATCTGATGCGGTGATTGGAGCGCACACGAGTGGCGTAACGTTAGTCTGCTGCAGGCATGCCACCACACCCCTCATTTATGGCATTTGTATGGGTGAACATCGCAAGTAACGCGTACCGGATCTCGATATGGCCCCGTACTGATTTAGTGCAACGCCGACGTTGCCTGTTGTAGGGGGCGCAGACGATGACACTGTGGTTTAGGATAGTTCGGGCGGCCTTATAAACCACGCAGGAGGCTTCGTTGGCGCCCACACGATCTGCAAAATTAAAAATATTTGCACGGCCTGCGCTGCTTATTATCCTGATTTCGCCCTTTCTCTGCCATGCCAGGACGTGTTCCCGCATTTTCTGGGGTAGGCGCCGACTCACTGTGCAATACAACCTGCACCACAGAAGCAACCAAAGGAAGAAATGTGCATGGAAGAGGTCCGAGCTGGCAGCCTATTCTTACCTGCTCATGTAAAATAGGGTTGTTCGAGAGAAATACTCGAATTCTTGCTGCTGGGGGGGGATTCGTGAAACAGCTTGATCAAGGCGTCTTATCAGGAGTTTACTGCTCGCATCCCTTTCAACATAGTTTTCTTTTCCGCCCTCAGGGGGTGGGCTTTGCTGGTTCCTCAGTGGTATTCTTTGAAATTAACACGTCTTAGTCGTGATCATTGTTGGAAGCTGACAAGTTGTTCTCAAAGGCAGAAAAATATGCGGAAACTAGGTGCATAACTTCGGTCTTTTGTTCTTTGTCGTAGTTCGAACCAGGGTTTCACGACCTCCCTCCCGCATTAAGTTAGGGCTGTTCACCGGCATAATCTTCTTTTCCTAATTTTCGTATATTCACTTGAGAGCGGTCAACACATTAGCTATACTGTCCCCCAGCTCGCGATAGGCTACCGCTATTTACTACAACTGATCGTTATGCTAGGTTTCCTGACGATACTTTCATCGTGTAGCGTCATCCCAAACTGCCAGAGAACTCAGCGATACCCATCTGTCCGTACGGAACAGAACTATAGTCGGATATAAGTAACCACGGTCTAATTTGACTGAATCTCCGACTGTTTTACAATTCAGTCCGGAAAGTCACCTAAGTAACACCTCAGACCTATTGAGGCCTCTTTGTTTAAGTTGGCACAATTCATTAGTTTTGGCTGATGCTGCAAAGCGATGTCCATCTGGATACACCCGAGAAGGTCTCAGACTTAGGATTCAGATGTGCTCATAGACTGCATTTGTCTGGGAACTAAAATATATCCAAATATTTATTGTTTGATACTGGTTGTCTTAAAAATGACATTTTGACTTTCGCCAAATACAGGGATCCGTAATTTTGCACAAAGCATTCAACACTACGTTCGAGATCGTCGTCATGCAAGTTTAAACCCACCGAAAAAACTTTCCCCATCAAACCCTTCTTAAAAAACAATTTACAGAATTCAAATCATCTTACGCATGCTATATGTACAAACCAAGCCGCATTATTAATACTGACAAAGATTACAACTATATTCTTGTGTCGTGACTGGTTGTGCGTTCCTTGAAGGGCAAAACCTCAATCCTAGAGCTCCGTCGACTCGGATCCTCCTGGCTGGCTTCTGGTTATTTGTGACCATCATGCTCGCCATGTTCTCCGCTAACTTGTCCGCCTTCCTAACTGTCGCCGGCTTTGACGCGAGGGCAAGTAATCTCTGGCAGCTCAGCCAGGATGCTGGCGTCAAGGTGCTTTTGCTTCCCTATGTTGGTGCTGCAACCCCACTAAAATTTCATTACGCGTGTCTACGTTTTAATGTTTAAGTAGACATACTTTTTACCCTATTTTTATTCCATCCCAGTTCACCGTACAGAAAGACACTCCCGGCGAGGCGTATTTTGCGCGGCTAGCAGCGAGTGAACAGGCGTTGTTCCGGCAGTGGAAGCAACTTACGCTTCATGAGGGTAAGTTTATTTTCACTTAACTGCATTTACCCATCGACTGCGAGGGCATTTTCCCAGGATAGCCACTAGTAGGCTTGCAGGAACAAAAGTACACGCAATTTAAGTTAACCCATTAATTTCCAACAGAACCGAAATTTCAGAACGGAAATTTCAGAACCGCGGTATCTACCAGAAAGCACAGGGGGGACGCTATGAGAGGCACTGATGAGCCGAATCCCTAGCGGCTGTGTCATACAGTGGCAGATTATCGGCGAAACACGTGCCTGGGCTTTATCGACTACCTGTGTAGTCAAGTATGGTGTATCACGTAACCTATGTGTATACTACTGGTTGCTTGTTGGCAGTTGATGAATGTTGCGTGGTTATCCCGCTGTGACTGATGGACTTCGACCCAAATACTCATACCAGCGTTCCGTCGGAGCCTAGGAGGTTTAGCTCAAATTGATTTACCCCAAATTGGTGATTAATTTCTGGGAAACTAAAAAGTCACAATTTTGAATCTCGAGTGTCTGCCAGAAGGCACACAGGAACTCTGAGGGGGGGTCCACTGATGAGTCGAACCCCTCGCAGCTGTGTCATGCAACGACAGAGTATCGGCGGAACATGTGCCTGGGCTTTTAGCTAGTGCCTGTGCTGTCGGTATGGTAAATCATGTACTGTGTGTATAATGTAATTTTGTTTGTGGTTCAAAGAAAAGGTAAACGGCACTTCCTGATGAGGAATATTACCTACCCGACTGCGCAGCGATCAAATATAAAATAGCAGGGGTAGATCGACAGAGATACGTAAAAGGAGACGACTGGTTTTAGCTAACCCCTTTGTGCCCTTATTTGGCTGTGACCGAAACAGAGAAAGGTACTGATAAGATCTAATTGATGTTTCAACAGTACAGCAAAATGGAGTTCCGTAAGGTCTTCGCTGTTAGTGTTTTTCGAACGAATTCACACATTTATAGACCGTAACCGACAGGGTAGTGCCGCGATAGAGCTGGATAGTCCTGATGATACACTCGTTGCACCAAGTGAGTCTTTTTATTGCTTTCGGCCCCCGATAGAGATTGGGTCTGTGACTGCGTAAAGAAGACATGAGAAGACTCAAGACAGTTGTCGTCTTTGCCCCACCCCATGTCTCTGTCGGTCTCTGTTTCAGTAATCTAAGGTCTTCTTGAACCGTCATAAATAGACAGCCCTGTAGAGTAAGCCTCTTTTAAATGAAAATTCCGTATAGTTGCAGCGCTTTACTTCATTTTTTGTGACTATCAGTCTCCACTTTAGTGCGTGGAGGCGAAAGGATTCTGAGTAGGATTCCGAAGGAGTCAAATGGAATGTCAATTCCTGCATCACCTGAAGTTCGAACAATCGCCTCCTCTTACATTCACTTTCATTTGCGTGAAAAGTTTAACCCTATGCTCCCTCGGATAATAACGATAAAAGTGCTTTGTTTGCTTTGGACGGAAAGTTTCCTTATCTTCTGAAAGTCTGGATCGTCATAGACCCCAAGCAAAATCTGAATACCTAAATATCCACCACAATATCCTTTTACTTTTGGCGCGAAACCTCGATGGACGCTAGGATACCGAGGAATAAATCTCACTAAATGTCACTGTCTGCAAAGAACTGTTTCAGTTACCTACACCTAACTGAGGCCGTCCGGTTGAAGAAGAGATGTCCTGTGGAGGAGGGGGGAGGGAAATAGTATGCTTCCCGTTTGCTCGTGCCGGGGTTATTGGAAGGTTTGTCGAGGATTTTTAAAATCCCATAAAATTACAGGACTAGAAGTAGAGGGCAATGCGATGCAACAAAATTCAGGTGTGAGTGGTTCTCTACTAAGTGCTCTAGACAAAAGGAATATCTTCGACGGGACCATATTTATTCCTATCTGGAGATCGAGTGCGTTCGTAAGTAGGCTGTGTCGAAATTTGAACAACCAGATGGCTCTCAGTGGCTGCATCAATAAAGAGGAATCATCGGGCAACTAGCTAGTATTGGATTGACTTTTTTTCATTTTCGACGTTTCAGTTCTAATCGGCTAAGAAATAGTAGTCTTGAGCGCATTTAATACAAGGGAAATCAGGTTAAATAAAATAATGTTTCTTGAACTATTGGAGTTTGGCAGAAAAATGGAAAGCTACCTACATCTTCTTCACTCTGTATATCCGGACAAAGGGCGTCTTTCAATTCTAAAAATGTTTTTAGATTCCCAGATAATTTTGAAACCGGCCAGCAGTTGCACTTGAATTTCTGGTCTTCAAACTACAAGCTCTATTATTTCCACGTAAGGGCAATCATGAATTCCTCTACACTATTAGCAAGATGCCATATACTTCTCATAAATCTTTGCAGTGAAAGTGAACCAGTGTATACTTACTGAGCAGCCTTAATAACCGGACTGGTGTGATGCTGTTTAGATAGACATCATACAGTCTTTAAAAAAATCGCATAATTACGAAATTCCGAAACGATAGCAACCCCTTATTCAAGCGTCAATTTTGAAAAAAAGCGTATTTTGCAACCCAACAAATAAGGATATTTCGAGCATTAATTGTATAAAATATGTTCAAGTTTATAAGAGCAGTGAGTATCAAGGAAAAAATTCTTCTATATCGAGAATAATTTTTTAGGCGGTCGGAAACAGTCGCATTCAAAAGCCGGTATTCTCGCTGGACTGAAATATTGGTAGGGGTATGGTTTACGCCCGGGGTCACTTAATTCGGGGAGCAATTGTGCTAAAAGTAAATGACTGGAGATATTTATTTATAGGCGCCAGAGAAGGGAATGAACAGACCTCTCGGTGGCTGCTGAGTTAGGTTGCTCAAAATGCATTAAGGTATTCATCGGAGTAAAAATGCGACAATGCAATACCTTTTTGACAGTGCTCCCAAATGGGCAGTAAATTTATTTATTATTCATAGATGTTAGAGCGTTGGCTGTACTAAAGCCTTCCCCTTACTGTGTGGGTTCGAATCCCACCGAAACGCCGAGTTTTTCACAGCTGGGTCAATAGGAATTATTTATTATTATCATTAAATGGTAAAAACTGTTCGCTTTTGATTGGCAACAGTATGGAGTATCAGAATTTGTGATACCACAAAATCCTTGGATGTTCGGCTCTTTTTCTCAACACATTTGCTCCATGGAGTAACTGACCCCGGGCGTAAACCATACCCCTGCCGACATATCTTGGGATTATGCTTCTTGATAATCATATTACAACGCCACCCTAGTAATCCTTTCTGTCCGAAGTCACATTTTGGAATCTCAGTTAACATTTCATGCGATATTCCACCTATTGTGGCGCGTTTGCTTCTGATGCCGGCGGATCAGCCGATGGGAATCAGAGGCTCGGTCATTTAAACGAATGCCCACCTTTGTCTAGCGAAAGACTGCTGCGCAGTCCAGTCTCGTGTATACATTGTTAACAGACGTAGTCAATATTAATTTTCCTCTATTTTTTATTGAACAGACAGAACATCCTCAACCTACTGTGTTTGGCAGTACCCAATACAGGAAATTTACTCAGAAATATTTCGGTCAATGCACAATGTTGGACTCACCAGTTCAACCGAGGAGTCGCTACAAAGACTTCAGGAGGACTGGATGGTCTTCATGGAGACTCCACTAGTTCAGTATTATACAAATAAATACTGCAACCTTGAGACAGTTGGTGATCAGCTTGGGAGCTGGACGTATGGCCTTGTGTTGCAAAAGGGTTTCCAGATGAAATATGCTTTGGATTCTGTGTACGTTGGCGTTATTTATTATATTTGCGTTCTGAGAAAAACTAGTATGTAAGGTTGTTGGCAGTAGTCTGTTTCCAGTTGCCTATGTGGAGTTGGAAGTTTTATTTCCACCTGTGCTCCAATGGGAGACGGTAATTCAAAAGCTCACCTTGATACTCTGACCTGGTCTTAAATAGCGTTCTTGCGCCTTCTTGGCACTAAGCCATTCGTAATGTTTTCGTATTCTGAAGGGGACACGCGTTACCGCCACCAAAAAGTGCTGTGATAGCTTCAGCGTGCATTTTACTGTTGCATAAAGAGACATTTTAAGTAGGAATACCTCAGGATAGCAAAAGTAAGAGATCCGAGTCAACAATTTAAGGAAAAAGATAGATCAGCCCAAGGTCAAGTAATTAGGCCGTTTATTTAAACTTCTGGGTCAATTTTTATACTAAACACTCTGATAATGGAGAGCCAGTCAAGCTCTCCGAAACATCAGCAATGCAATTCCCTTGGTCCGGTGGGCACTTCAATTTTCTGAGAAGTATGAATAATAAAGCCTCTAGAAGGAATTTAAAACAGGCTCAAACATCGGGATTCCTCGGTGCCAACAATGTCGAGGCGATTTATCAACTGCTTTTTGTCAATGCATAAAATGAGTAACGAGTGACGGCTATAGAGCAGATTGAAATGATGAAAAAAATCCATGTGAAGACGGCAAGGTCATAGTTCGGAACAATCTAGTCGAAAAAATGGATCATTTCAAAACCTCGCAGAAAGGTAAAAAAAGTACATTAGCGTACATAGAAGTTTGTAAACCAAAGAACCAGAGATTACCGAAGTTCGCTACATGGTCGGTTTGTGTGCACGGGGCAGCTTTCATCTAATAGTACAGTAGGTTGGCTAACTCATGAAATATCAACCAAAATTTGTAATGCGTTTTTGTTTCGAAAGAATTCATTAAGTGGAGTTGCAAAATTAATTATCATGCAGCATCATCCAATAATAATTCAGTTACCTCAGGATGCCGGATTTCTAACGAACTCCTTTTCGGCTTCATGCAAAAAACTGTACTCTGTAAAAAAGAATACATAAGTAGCATGCATTTTTCTCATCGAGCTTTCATGACCTTAAAAGGGCAATTATATTTAGTGAAAAACATGCAGGAAATATTCAGTATTCTGCTCATTCGGTAGAAAATTATGTTTTCTTTCAAATTTATGCTTCAAGGAAAGGTATAATTCGGTTTTTAAAAATGTTTCCAATTTACGAATAATTCCGAACCCGACCTGCTGTTACACTTTCGTTCAGGGTTTCCAACATACAAGCCGTATATTTTTCGCGTGCGAAAACTATACATTTCTCCACGGTATTAAGAGGAGACCATATGGAGTTCATGAAATTTAGCAGTGGATTTGATCTTAATGCAAACTTTACAAGCCACATTGGTAAATGCAGAGATATGACGATTTACGAACGGCCATTTCACAGTATTTAAAAGTCCCATAATTAGAAACTTTTTAAAACCGAATTCTGTCCCTCCTTCGAGTATAAAATTAGAAGACTTAATTAGCTACCGAATGAGCAAACGAATGAATATTTTATGCATGTTTTCCATAAAATATAATTGGCCTTTTAGGGTCATCGAGAATCAAGGAGAAAAGCGCATTCTACTTAGGTTTTCTTTTTTGCAGACTATAGTTTTTGCATGCAGCCGCACAGAAGTTCGTTCGAAAGCCGGCATCCTGTGGTTACTGAATTGTTACAGGATTATGCCTCATGACGATTAGTTTTACAATTCTACCTAATTAATCTTTTCGAAACGAAAACGCATTTTAGGATTTCGGTTGAAATTTCATGAGTTAACCCTCCTACCGTAGACTGTATCATCCTGCCTTTGATCCTACCGAGCCAAATCAACTTATTGTGTACAGTCATCCATGCCCTGAAACGGTAGGAAACAGTTAATAAGTCTTCTCGAATTTTTCTGGTATTAATTATTACCTCTGTAGATCAAATATACATGCCTCAAATTCCTTTTTATGCACCCCTCGAACATTTATTCGTGTCAGTAATGTGCGTGTTCCCCAGAATACGAACACTTTGCGAAATACTTAGTCCCAAAATAGCGTAAAGATCCCACATTTGGCTAAACGGAATTGCAATTTTGCAATGAAATTGCTGCCGAGGCCCGCCACGAGAAGGCATGGGTAACTGTGCTCAAAAGCCCCGGAATGAGAGGGGGAAAGTGTCAACACACAGTCAAGATGACTGAATGAGAGATCGGATGCTTTGGGGCTTCGTTATCATTTGTAATGTTCCTTGCCATCTTAGCCCGGTAAACTCGACTAGACACCAAAGACGCATTTGAAGATTACGGTTCTCCCTGTGAGCAATCACTTGCATAGGTTTTCAACTGTATGGGGGATGGCTTGTGCAGCCCCAATCGAGCGTTCTTTTTCAATTATCACCACCTATCCCCCTCTCCCACAAGCAATCTTAAGTTAGGACGACTGGAGATGCTGGCCAATCAGCCTGCGGTGGAGCATTGAGCAGCGTGATGTCTTCGCCCAAGCGCCCGGTCCAACCAATAACCGGCCGAATATTCGAGACTTTTTCGCGAAGGGGTCTAGCGCAACAAGGGGTTAATCCACGGCCAGCAGGCCAGAAACCAGGACCTTCTATAGCCGTTAGCAGTCAAATAAATACCGCGAGTTTTAACTAACTGGTCGTTGTGTTACTCAGGCGGGCAGAATAAAAATATCGTTCTCGGGACTCGCTTTCGTTCTCCCCCATTCACCCATCGGGGCATAACACTTACCCTCGCTTATGCGCGGACTTAACAAAGGCAGCATCATTGCGAAAAGGAAAGGCGGCCACTTTCCTCAGGGTCACAGTGCGAAGAAATGCATTCTACTTGGCTCCCAGTCCCTATAATTAAATGGTTCCACGTTGTAACAAGCTTTCCAGACATGATTTCACTCTGGGTTTTTGAAATAAATATGCAGACATCCATTCGAGTGGTACCCTAAGCCAGCATAGTGACCAATTACCCAGTCAAGGCATCGGTGCCAAAGACAGACAGAGATACGGATTAATCTACACAGTTAGCTGATCTGTCCACCGACATGCGGCTTCTACTTAAAAGTGGGTTTACGATCAACACTGCCCTGTTCAAAATTCTAGAGGCCCCTCTTGTCAGTCACGCACGAACCTTAGTTACCATGCGGGTTTCTGAATGCCTTATAATTATTCCCTCTTACTCGAAGAGAGCCACTGCAGCCCGGATGGGTATTGGTGACCTGAGTGAAATGTGTTATTAGTAGGGTGGACTTATGTAGTACCGGATTTCCCCTTCTTTCTTTCTTTCTCTCTCTCTCTCTCTCTCTCTCTCTCTCTCTCTTCTAACTCTTCCATCATATTGACAATAATAATAGGTCGGGCGGAGTTACATATAGATTGGTTCCTCAAATGACGTAGCTAGCACATCAGTGAGAGCTGTCAAAGACCTTATCATAAAGTCGCTATTCCGACCTAACACCCAGTTCTGGGCAGGGCAGAGTCATCCTGTCACCCGGTAATCTTCCGCTACACAGCTTTTAACGACCCAGAGTGACTGGGAAAGCCGTCCAGATTTACTATTATCAGGAACTACCGTGCACGGATGGGCCCCACTTACAGTTCACAGTAGCGGATCAGACATGTTGTCACCATCTCTTGCGTGCTACGCGCTTGCCGATCGCTCAACCGACATCAACCCATTCTCATCCACTGAGCGTTGAAAGCCCCCCGCCACCGTGAATGATCAACAGGGGACTGGTCTGACATGCCTATCTTCTCAGCGGAACGTGTGCTGGCAGAGCATAGCTGGGTGCCCATCTGCTCCCGCGATCACCAGCGCGGCCATTCACGCATGCCAGTCAGTCTTACTCCTCTCAATTAATTGTTCGAGCAGCGCGTGACCCTGACTTGCTGTGGCGAAAGGCTGAAACCAAACGACGTCGCATCCCTCACTGATTGGCTGTAGGCGGACAATCTCAGGCACACACATACATCCCGCGCGAGGGCTAACAATCTTAACGATTGTCACTCGGCTGAAGGGGACGTCTGCTTCAACTGCCTGCTGAATGGCGTGTATGCTCTCTAGCTTCAGTAGGGGACGCCCAAATAACTTTCACATCTGACCTGTGATCTGGAAGCATTCGAGCTGTCGACCAACGCAATTCGATAGCTGCAGCAGGATCGGAGGTTTTAATCGCATGACAATAACAAGCAGCCTAGATATAGACGATCCTTGAGATTACGTTCGTACGTGCAGGCAGCACTGATGGTCAAACTGTCGACCGCTAGCGTGCACTACCTTGTTGCCGGGCGTGAACTGGCCAATCAGTCGACCTGATTCAACGTTCGCAATACATCGCGCGGCGCTGGTGGGCACCTCTTCTGGTGAACAATCAACAAGTTAGGCGCCTAAGCGTGGACTGTTAGCTCCTCAGACGATGTCCATCGAGATGCCGAGGATAATAATTAAGGATGCACATTTAGTAACTACCCTGCGTTCGGAGTCTGAAGCAATTGTGCCAAGCATGAAACATCCAGGATATTTTCTTCACGGACTGAAATAATTGTTTCTGACTTATGTATCCCACACGGTCAGCCATATCTCAACCCTATTCCAGAAAGGGATCAGATTTAAACTCAGCCCAGGTATTCATTGAGCACAACTATCTAACAGTGGAACCACAGTCTTGCTTTCTGTTACTTACCAATTGAAATACTCAGGTCTTTCGCAGATCTTACTTGACTGCAGAGGGGACTAAGGGCCATCTGTTTTGTCCTGAAGAGCTCTTTTAGAGGTCTAACAGACAAGGAGCAATTTTGCTTAATTTCCTCCTCCTCCTCCCTCTACCCACTTTTAGTTTTCAAACTGATCGGTACTGAGGGCAGATAGTACTGGTCCCTTCAAGTACCGGTCGACAGATCACATTAACGGCTTTCGAGTCTGTCCTTATAAGTCTAAAGGGGATACGGCAAGGAAAGCTAGGCGGAAGCAGCGAGAAGAGGATAAGCACCAATCTTGCTGCTCCCAGTTTGAGATTTCTTGAGCGACGGAGGGCGGGGAAGGAACAACGGCAACCCATAAAACGTCCGGTTTGCACACAACCCTGCACAATACAGTCCGACTGCTTGTGCCTCCCCCCCCCCACTACCAACCCGTTTTCCCTAGACATGAGGGGCCCGTCGTTGAGGTACTATTCCTAGTCGTGTACGTAAATACTTTCAAACGGTAGTCATTTTCATTCGCGTCGTTCCTTAGCCACTCCTGCCTCTGGTTAAGCATTCAAGCGCGACTTCAAAATGTCGAAATAAAAGCCCTGTTTCAACCATCGATCTGGCTGTTTCTGGGATTCTGAAAAAGGGGTACTGTATCTATGCTCCCCTCTGACTATTGTCTGTTGTCGGTATCCACTTTAGCATCCTGGATCTGCAAACAGAACAAGTATTGGAGATTTTGAAACAAAAATGGCTATCCTACGGAGCCGTCCAGTGTCCCCCGCCCACCAAAGAGCCTGGCTTCCGTCCGGACCAGATTGCGGGTGTCTTCATTGTCCTCTGCGTGGGCTACGTGCTCAGCCTCCTTGTACTTCTGGTTGAATTCCTGGCTGCATGGTTGCTTCGAAAGTACGACATCCGACTGGTATGTAGAACGTCGATGACGGTACATCGGCAGACCGCCTTGAGAGAATGAACTTGGATTCCAATTTTTAAATGATCCATACTTTAAAAATCAAAGTTAGCCAACGCATGTTTTTGGTAACTCATCATCGGGCCCATGCAGTTACAGTTACAGGCGCAAAGGCAGCCAAGAAGGAAGATTGACTAATCATGATAAGCAGAAAATTGATAAAGGATATGATGAAATCCCCGCGATGAGACTTTGTTGTGAAACGGAGCATTTTTTATGGCAGGTCATGAAAGAAGCAGACTTATAAAGTGAGAAAACAGATATGTGCTTCGGCGTGAGAACGAAACAGGAAGACTGTTAAACCAGCCGTCTAATGCTTGGAACCCTCTGAATCGTCCTATGACTAAGGACAATTCTATTACCGCAGGCTTCGTAGATGTGAAACTTACACAACTGGAAAGCGGATTCCACGTTTTCTTTGTGTGTTAGAATAAAACGTCCTACTTATTAGGCAATTCGAGCTATCTGAGGCATCTCAATGTCTGCCCTCTACATATAGGAAACTTATCATTAAAATTCCATCGCAAGACTCAACAGTCTTGAGAACAGGCCCGCCTCAGATACAATGCTCAGCGAATGTCGATTATTTTCGACCGTTCCTCGCCCCGAAAAATCGGGTAGTACACTAATCAACACGAATCCAGTTGTCGAGTGGTTAATTTTTAGCCAGGGGAACGCACATTCTGAGCGAGTGAGTTTCATACTCACATAGTCCGCTGTGATCGAAATAGGTTCTTGTCATGAGGCTTTTCGGTAGGACTGACTTGTGTGGTTCCCTAACCATGACATGGGAATAGGTACTCCCCGACCAAGTAATAAAGGTCAATCTGCGCATAATGATGGAAAGAGCAAAATATTCCCATTTCCTAACCCCAACAACAAACCAAATGTAAAAATAAGCCGTTGCCTGATCTTAACCCTAACTGTTCAGTCAACACTAACTCCTACCTTGATCCCAAACTTGATTCTAAATTACCTAACCGTTAACTTTAAATCTAGTCTTAAACCTATCCTTAACCTTACCGGCTTTTCAACCAATCTGTCAGAAACCTGAATGGTACATTAGATCGACTGAAAATAAAAACCAAAGAGCATTTGCGGCCTGGAGCAACTGAACCCCTTACGAGCTACCAGACTATGCTGCAGGAGGTTGAAGACTGCAAGGAAAGTGCAATGCGTTCTACTCGTGAGGGATTAAACTCTTTTTGTCCTAAAGTACCCAACTGTGGTTCGTGCAAACAAGTTTAGATTACCGATATATGCGTGTCAATATTATTACAAATAATTTGGATGTCTCTCTTGCTGAACTTCCCTCTTCTGGATCTTATTATTTAATTAGAAGGCTATGCCTCTTAAAATGCGAAACGAAGCCGACCCTCTTTCTAAATGGGAAATCGAATTCACGCACATACCGAATTATTTCAGTACTGAGCACACATGGAAAAATATTCAGCGACCTGAGGAAGTATAGCATTTTCGCCTTGCATTGTTAGCCCTAATTTTCGGAGTCGGCTCTCCAGTTTTCCAACACGACACCAGTTTCCATTCGTTCATTGAAAGATGTGTTGTTGGCTTTAAAGCAGGCTGAATTTGTCAGGTTTATGTCACATGTATTTTGACATATACAAGCCCCCAACTACCAGGTTTTTTTATTTTTTAGCATCCAAGCGCTTTTCACTCAGAGGAACTATGCCAAGAAAAAGCTGCGCATATTGAGTCATGCGTGAAGACAGGCAATGAAAAGGTCGGTTTAATGTTTTCCCTAACAGTTAATATTTTTTTCTTTATTCTCGAGGCGTATTTAATAAAGAAGAAGAGGAAGGCGACAAGACGATCTCTCGAACCAGTTATTTATTCTTCCGACGTCCCGTGTTCTCGCATGTGCCCACAGTCAGGGATAAAGGGAATGCGTAGTTTCGTTATATTTATCGCATCTCTAACTAGAATCACCTTCAACTTCATTACCTCTTTGCTCTCACAGCGACTGACAGATCGATACGTCTGTTGATGCGTTCGACGGCCAAATGCCACGCGCCTTGCAACCGGCGCAAAATCTGGTCATCCGAATGGCCCGAAATTCTCGCGCCGTCGAAAGTAGAGTTGTACCTTGGCTAGGACAAATGTGAACGGCAACCAGGGAAAGTTAGTCTTTGCGCTTCATTACTAACTCGAGCTCGGGCTTTCTCGTGTGGACCTGCTTCCTGGTTTCAACAACATAGTTGGATTGTTCACAAGTGTGTTCGATAAGGTAACTGAGGCCAACTTTTCGACCAGTCGGTGTTGGGTCTTTTGGATTAATCAGCTGCTGGAGGATTGTTGTTTCCAACCAGTGAGGGAGTCAAATCTCCATTCCACTAGCAACTTTAGGGGATTCTCGGTACACACCATCAGCACAAGGCAGGATACGCTAGCGTTCCATCAACGGGTTTTCTCCAGGATTTTCGCCCATATTTATCGATAAAACTGTTGGCTTATCTGTGAAGAACTTCCGTAAAGACTGAACCTCGACCTTTTTTTCACCATGCTCACTACGAAGCCTTTCCACAGGGCAGAAGAGTGTTCCTACCCAGCTGCGCTTGTGCGAAATGGGGTGGTTGCTATTCAAATGAGAAATATTCGCCGACCCCCTGTCCACCAGTGTCTTGAGTTGGCCATTGTTTATTCTGATGACGATAATGCCTAGAAGCGACAACGGACAATTTCATTTTTTGATCTTAACCTGGATGTCTAGGACGTTGGATTCCATACATTGGATGAATTTCTTAATCCTGTCCCGATTGACGATAACAAATGTGTTATAAAAATACATTATCCCCTACTCTGGTTAACACTGTTGAAACGTCGGTGCCTCTCGTCGACGGAACAGTGTCTCTGTAATTAGACTGTGTTTTTCGTACACAGCTACATTGAAAGTGAAGAAAGACCGAATCCGGTGTTTTATATCATTAAGATGTCTAATTGCGCTTTTTGACCACTTTGTTGTAGTATTCTTTCAGCGGCGTTTTATGACTTCGACCCGGAAATATTGCCAGATCGAATCGAAATGGAACGTCAGGTTGAAAGACACAATCATCTCGTCACTTACAAGCCAAATAACTTGCGACTTTCGTGTGAATAGCTCTGTCAAATGGATAGGTGGTTTGGGTCACTGGGTTAAGAAAGTACGATGGTGAGACCACCACTTGGCGAGGCCAAACGTTAGGCATCCTTTACGACAGACAACCATTCGTAGATGCATTTCTGGTGTGGGGCCTTCTGGAGGCCATAGGAGAGTGAGATCGCGGCGATATTGGGCTTAATATTTCGCCAGTCGGTCTTTGTTATGACGCTGAAATTTCCGAAACCTTGTCATTTTTTGTTGGCATTGTTTACAATAGCCTTTGCTGGGAATCTGGGCAGTTTTGGCGTCCAGATTCGCTTCGACCCTGCCGATTCATCCTCGATCGTTGGACACCACTGTGAATCGTCTTTTGTCGGTTGGGTGTAGTGCAATGTTTTCCTGCTTTTTGAGAACGTTGCCTATGCTATATGGGACATCAGTGTGAAAAAGATTGGCCATCGCATCATATTTTTGCCTTCTTCAGTATGTGCTGCGGTATAGCCATCCCAAGTCAGATGAGTTCTATGGAAAACAGCAAAGGTATGACTGAATTGTATGACCCCCATTAATAGGACATGACGACAGGAGCCGCCTGAAATGCAGGTAGATTCGAGCCAACTTCCGGTGAGATTACTGTTAAGCTTAAAGTTAGGGTTAATTTGATGATCAGATTTAGGATTAGGTTTAAAGGTAACGGCGAAGAAAGTCAGATTCAAGTTTAGGGCTAGGGTAGGGGCTGGTGTTTACCGAAAAGTTAAGGTCTAATGCAGCATTAGGGTTAAAATTTGGGCAATGGTTCAGCTTTATCTTAAGGTTATTGTTGGGGTTAAGGCGCGGAAATATACTGCCCTCTCCGGAATTATGCGCAGGTTCACCTTTATTATTTTGGCAGGGCGTACTTGTTTCCATGTCCTGTTTAGGTGGCCGCATAAATCAGCCTTACCGTAATGAATTTTTTTGGAAATTTTCTATGGCGACTCCGCGGATCGTCGTCAGGGACGTCTGAACTATGCAAAACAAGTGACATTCAAGCGTGTCTGTCAAATTGACGGTCGACTGTAGTTTTGCGTTTTTGAGCGTTCGCTGTATGTCACAGTGCCGCTTAGACTGACAGTCCCCTCATCCATTTGTTCTTGAGTTTTTCGTACGCGGTATTCCACTCAGTATGCCAACTGATGCATGATTAATCCGGATGCATGCTCAATCTTCCTTGGCAGACAGACTCAATCCATGCAAGTTCCGTCTCAGGCAAAAGTGTGGCCAATAACAAGACCACGAGTTAAGTACCGCTCCTCGCAGTACAGAGAAGGCGGTGGCGGTGCTTGCGTCCCGCTGAAAACAAGGTCTTTCACGTAAGTTTTACACCGGCACGATGGTGGGGTTTCGCCGTCGATGTCGATAACTGCTTGCCCGTGCCCTGTCTTAACGACCCGTCTGCGGCTGATGTTGATTGACTGAAGGGGGTGACGATTTTTGGTGGCCAGCATTCACTGTTTTTATTGTCATACGTCCCCACTGCTCCCTGCCTGAAAAAACCGTGGTTGCTACACTTCTGCCGACGCCAGAGTCCACATTACGTCGGTGAAGACATACCTAGGACAAATGCGCTGCGGGTAACGTTAAACGTTGACTGATTGGAGTCGGTCCTGTGTGCTACGCATCGAGTCACTCTCTGATTGTGCCGTCTGCCCCTCGGCTTAGCAGTTCGACGTCCAGGTAAACGAAAGTATATCCGGGGCTTCAGCAGTGTTCTCCATCGCAACTAACGACCCATCTGACCAGAAGTCAAATAATGATATCTAAGGATGCCCGGTCATGAGGTCTAACCTCAAGCCTCGTCAACAGGTACAACATTGGTTAGGTTAATTTTGCTGGTTTTATGTGCTACGTAAGCAAGTACAGTCCTGCACAGACTAAGGAAAATGATAAATCAATGCGCCTCCATAACCAAAAATGGCCATTTTGTTTCCTCACCTTGATCCTGATTTGATTTCAAAATTTCACACTAAGCTTAATTCCCGTCTGGTAGGCAAGTCAGTCTCCCGGTCAGTGTCTCATAGGGTCTCGCCTCGTATGAGTGGGCAAGAAGCCTGCGGACAATAAACCCTGGAATGATCCGCTCGAATATCTATGTATAAATATTATTGTTACTTAAACGACATCAATAGCCATTTTCTTTGCTTGTAGACTGATGAGGTGCTATCTCATGATGCCGCCCCTCAACCTTCGCATCCCGACTTCAGCAATTTCCAAATCGAGCAGTACTGAGACATTTGCCTTCAGTTGACAATTCCTTTTATTATTTCTTGTTGAAACGACATCGATAAATTGCCTTTTACCATGCAAATATTCAGCAATATCATTGTTGCTTTTTCTTATTTGGAATCTATTTTCGACCATATGTGTCACCCCTCCGATTGTATCACTTTACAAGTAAATTCTGTGTACTACAGAGAACCTTTTGTTCCATATAAAAAAGATTCCGTTTCTTAGATTGGTAGGGCATATTGGTTTGCACTGGTGTATTTTTGAGTCTTTTAATCAAAGACTAGGCCACTTAGCTTTTACCTCATATTTGTTCTAATGCCGACCTTTCGTTGTGCAAAAACAAAAACACCACCACCTATTTGTGCGTTAGTGACTTGTGCATTATTTGTATTCTAGCATAGGGAACATACACAACGCGGGCGGACGAATGGGGGTTGGCGTGCCACTAAATACAGACCAGGCCTTCGCCGCATCTCCTGCTCCTCTCACATGTGTTAGTTTTGGAATGATACGGCGGAAGCCAAATCTCAACCGATTTTTTTTCCCGTATAGAGCCTGATGCAGCAGTGAGCCATGTTGGAATTCCAACATACGATAGACCTGTTTTGTGTGACAATGACCCTCCTCATCAATTTGCGTTTGTGGTTACGGTAACGGGTGGAGTACTTCGGCGGACGATTCTTTCGTGTACTCTGGAGCTTCCGAAGAGTTCGATTCTGGGCTGAACTATGTATTTTAAGTGTGGAGGAATTTGGAGGGTTAGGATCTGTAATAGCCAGTTCTGCCCAGATGGAGAGCTAATTATGTTGAGATGGACACAGGAGGGTTGGAGGAACTAAGAAGACTGTTCATTTTTGTTTACATTCTCCAATATTTCGATGTTATTATTCATTTTCATCTGTTTTTCGGATTTCCGTTGCATGTGCTCCACACCAGACAACTATGAAGTAAATGCCAATTCTCGACGACTCGGCAGGGCAAACCTTCCCTTAACTCAGTTCGGCCTTAGGAAATCAAGCCTTTCACACTGTTCATCTGAGTTTTGTATTCTATAAATGTAGAAAGACCACCGCCCTGTACAACCACTTTCAATACTCTTATTTCTTGCTGATCATTCTTCGCTAGTTCGCTCTTAACCACAAAGGTCCGGCACCTTTTACCAGAGAGGGTTTCCATCCCCGTGTCCTGCCGGGGAGGGGAGCAAATACTAAATCCTCGCCGAATTTTTGTTAATTAGAGAACACCCGGAGACGATCGCTAAATTCATTTTTAATTCTCCAAACTCGGAGAATAAGCTCAGGGCATTGGTAAGCAAACACTTGCGCTTACAACTTGCGAAAATGTGCATTTCTTAGGCGCATTTAGAATATTTGAATAATTCAACTGAATGAATAGTGAAAAACTTGCCTACCTCGGCGGAATTCAATCTGTCGATGTTCTACATGAAAGGCTCATAGCTCCTTGTTGGGGCATTGTAGCTCGGGTGATTAGAGCTTTGCGCGTCCTACCGCAGGTTGGTTGGGCTTTTTAAAATTCCGACAGTTCAGTTATTCAAATTTGCCACATACACCCATAAAATAATGAGCCTAAAAGAAGTAGTCTGTTGGATTCTATTTTAATTGCATAGGAAAACCTGGTAGGACAGTCAGTCTATTGAATTCGAATTAGTGAATCACATACTTCGCAGTAGGTTGGGCGGCAGTGCTTTCCTAGATGTGAAAAAGTTTAGACTCAGCTGGGGCCACGTATCTCAGATGGTTAGAAGGCCGATTACATTAGAGTCATGCAATTACTGGAGCGGATTGAAACCTCGTCGAAGTCGCAATGGTTTTCATAAAAACTTCATGCGAACGTGAAAAGAAACGGACATTGTAGAAGAAGTACGTGGAGGCCGATTTTATTGCATTATTTTCTCAGAAATAGGAAGCAGCATAATAAAAGCATCAAACTGAGGGGAATTACCAAAACCTGTATTGGCTGTGCTCGACAGCAGAAGATTCGCCAAGCCAAAAAAATTTTCAGGTACGTCCGAACGCAGGAGGAAGGAGAGAAAAAGTTGCTTGCCTTGAGGACAATATCGGCATACGGGTTCCAGAAGGTAGCATTTTTTTCCAGTTCTTTCTTATGATGGTTGCTGCTAGACCTTGTCAAGAAAATTGAGACGCTGAAACGATACGGGACACTGCCACCATTGACGCCGTTCCCCTTTTGTGTCATATTTGTAAGGCTCATCCCTGAATAAATGAAGCAAGAAAAATCTCCTGGTCCGCATATAGTGCACGGCTCCATTTTTATAGAATTACTCCCGGAACTGAGGCTCATCTTCTATCCTTTTTGAATTTATGGAGAGAACAAACAATCTGCCGTTGAGGTGAAATCGTCAGTGTAGTTCCTGTATAATCTCGGGGTTCCCTTCAAAGCATGCATTAATGCACTCCTTCGACGAAAAGAAACTCCAACAAATTCACAGCATGACTTTCAGTTAAATTACTTCTGCCTTTTAACCCGTCTCAAAAGTCATCTGCATAAGTTTTCGTCCCTTATTTCCATCTAGTATGCATAATCAGAACTAAAGACTACGTGCAAAGCCGTCCTTCGGTGAAATTTCACATAAAAGAACTTCATCCGCATCATACTAGCAACATCCCTGGAATGATAATAAATTCATGATCTGCAGTCAATATAAAATATATCGAAATATAAAATTCGGTTTTTAGATGCACTATCTACTACATGCAAAAACATACTGAAACATATCAAAGGTTACACTTAATACCCTTTACTGTCGATTATAATTCTACCATTAATTTCCGGTTAAAAACAACCTGCCTTTGGCATCTCCTGGTGCGCTCTTTTTGGAGAAAAACACTTCGGTCTGTTTTCTGCTCGCCAATGCAACCTCAACGGGCTGCGACCAATGGAAGTGAAGAGACGAGTTCTAGGAAGCATTTCAGGATAATAAAATACCACCGCTAGAGAATGAGGCCTATTCGCCTGACGTTTTGGATTTCCATTTAAATCTATTATCAGAGACAATCGCAGATAAAAGTGATGTAGAAACAAGGATTTCAGTATTTTACCACAGGTCCACCATAACTACCAGCTTCCGCATCCATCGCTAGCGGTCATGTTTGATGTGATGACTGTTAGTTAGTCCACGTCCGAGCCGTTAATTGCCGTAATTATATCAACGTTTCCGACTATTGACTTGAAACTTATCCGGTAACTTTGCTCTCTGTCATCGGTGCTGTTGGTCACTGCTCTATTCTCGCGCGGCTTATGACTTTGCCCAGGCAAAGCCTCCGAACAGAATATGGAGATAGTAGGTCACTGTGCTTGTTAATCGACTGCGTACAGGATAGTCATAACTCAAAAAGCTCGCGGTTCATGTGGCTTTCACCTCTTGAGAGAATTTCGACTTCGTCAGTTTTAAAGGTGTGGCCGGGGCTCTTCAACAACGCCGATGAAACTGCGGAAATTACTGACCCAGACGCAGATTCACGAACAATTATCGGATTAAATACGACCACCGAGGTTAAGTTTAGGAAGTGCTAAATATATTGGGCGTGTGAATGCATAGAAATTCCATCCACTGCACTCTTTATATCCCCATAAACCATGTCTGCGACTGCCCCTGATGTGTGGTTCGCGTGAGAATCCTAAATCTTCTGTAGATATGCTTACTGTTCCAGTGAACACGTAGACATCATCACCTTGTTAATAGTATTATTTTATCTCTCGTCGTTAATTTTCTGTTTATTCTCTGCTCTTCCTTTTATTCTTAAGGATGTTTGGTCAGTCACTTTCTTATCCCTGTCAAGTAATTTATTCGGTATATCTTATACGAGGTTTTTCCAAGAAGGAATCCTCACCTCCAGGTTGAGAACTCTCGAAACGGTCAATTTCTGGATGACTGTCCACTGAGGCTCTTTGAGAGGTTATTCTTTTTATATCTAGCCAGATGATCGATCGAATTTCCATAAGGACTCCAATGCTTTTTTGCGACATTGCCTTTTTTGCTACCCATAAATTCTAATTCTGGCTAAGACTGAGCACTCTACAGAGTAATCAGGATTATTCGGAAACCGAATTTGTAGGACCAGGCAGAAGGAGCTCGCTGTATGTCATTTTTTGGTAACACCATCGTTAGTCAATAGAAGCGAAGAGACGAGTCCCAGGAAGTAGTCTTGAAAAAGAATACACGACCGCCGGGACAACAGCTTTATTAGTCTGACGTTTCGGATTCCCACTCGAATCCATCATCAGGGACAAAAAAGCAGAAACGGGTGGTTGTTGCACAACACCACAGACCGAAATTCTGGGCCCGGTATGTGGATTATACCTTCGTCGTCATCGAACGGGATCAGCTGTTGGCATTCCAAGAACATCTCAACGCCGTCTTCCCGGACATTCAATTTACGATGGAAAAGGAAGAGAACAACCAACTGGCCTTCCTGGATGTCTTCGTATGCCGCAAAGATTGTGGTGAACTAAAAACCAAAGTTTTCAGGAAAGCGACAATACGATGCAAGTACTGAACTTCAACAGTAACCACCCAGTCAGCCACAAACGCAGTTGTGTAAGGACGCTCTATCGGCGAGTTGAAACGCACTGCAGTGAGCCGGAAGACAAAATTGCCGAACTACAATACCTCCGACGGGTCTTTAAAGCCAATGGCTACCCGCGTAACTTCGTCGACCGGTGCATACGCAAAAAGGACGAAAGGCCTAACCGCACGGACACCAAATCTTGGCGGGCACCAAGTGCGACGATCCCGGATGAAGGGGGAGACGTGAATGTTCATAGGTATGCGGTAGCATGGCTACTGCATCCTATCAATACCGCAGCCCCTTGTGCAACAACCACCCGTTTCTGCTTTTTTGTTTCTGATGATGTATTCGAGTAGGAATCCGAAAATCAGGCTAATAAAGCTCTTGTCCCGGCGATCGTGTCTCCTTCTTCAACCATCGTTAGTTTCCATTTGGACATTGCTGTCCTAA